GGTTGAACAGACGACCCTATAAATCCTTGTCACGTACAACCGGGGAATCGAAACCAGGCCAGTTGACTCAATGACAGACCTTATGATACAGCGCGCACGTGCTATCCATTCGCCCCCCACCCCTAAAGAAAGACCTGCAATAGGCAGATTTGGGTCTTACCAGTAGCGGATTATCAGTGAGGCTGATGAGGCTGCAGCCTCAGGCCCAAAGATTTTGTAAAAAAATTTTTTTTAGACTTGTCTGATACGATTAAAAACGCATAGACAATGAATGTTAGGGGGGTGGGGTTAAGGCCCAACGGGAATCAACATAGGCCCTGACCCGAAATTAATTAGGCCCACGCCATTTTAAATAGGCCCTATTGTTTGGAGATATAAAGTTACATTACGTGTTTAATGTTAGCAACTACCTTGGCTCTAACTTTAAAAACTAAATAGACCCTCCAGCAACTGCCGCCTCAGGCCTTGGTGGAGCTTAATCCGCCACTGGGTCTTACACAATGCCTTTTTAATTGTTTAATAATGTTTTTGGTTGTCGATTGTTTAACACAAAATCAGCTACAGCTAGTACAACTATAGAAATGGGGTTTAACGTCCACTCGGCACTAACCGTTTCATAGTGGGACTAACAAATGATATATCTTTATTTCGATGGTCTGTTTAAGCGCGGGGGTCTGTAGTCGTACAAGAAAACCATTGAAAACCCAGGAGATATGACAGCAGAACAGAGAATCGAAACCATAGTCCTGGACACATTGACTCAGTGACAAACCTTGCAATCAAAAGCGCGCGCATTACACCACTTGGTCACAGATAAACTAAAAATTGACCCATTCAGCGATCCTATATTGTATATGGATACCCACGTCGGAAAACAAATCAAAACATGAAATGTTATTAAATCTAATTTTTATTTCATCACCAACTCAAAGCGATCGTATCCTTTGATAGTGTGATATCTTTACATTTTGGTTTTTTTCCATAAAAGATATCTCAGTTAATTTAACGTTACACTCAATTTTTACATATTAAATAGTTAATTAGCAGGTGTGTGCATTTAATGCTTATATTAGCCCCACGTCAACTTAGTTAACGCTAGGAAGCCACATTTGGAATTCGATATAAGAGTAGGCCGTAGCGCAGCTGTCCGGACAAATTTCCCTTATAGCATACTGTATGACTTACGTCCGTCTTCATTAACCCATTCGGAGCAGAACAGTAGGACATTGAACTCCATTACATATACTCATTTAAAATGTTAGTTGAATATCTTCGTAGGGTAAATACCGACTGGTGAATATTGTGAATACATGGAGAGGGTCGATGAAACTAGATATAAATCAATTTTATAAGCTTTGATACCCCCAATGTTTCGGCTATTAGCATCTCTTCTGATAGGCACTATTGTAACTTGCTTAAGCGTGAATCTTGCGATTGGATTTAGTAATTTCTTTTAAAATGATAAAATGTCATGTTACAATGTCGATAAACACTTCCTGTTTCGCATTTAGAGGGGTGTTATTGTCCAATAGACATGTCCTGAGATTTTACATTAGAACACGCGACGCTAACGCGTCTTGGGTCCTCAGGACATGTCTATTGGACAATAACATCCCTCTAAATGTGAAACAGGAAGTGTTTATCTCCTAAATAGATTGGGCCTTATTGTATAATAAACCTGCAAGAATATCATAATGTTGTATATAAGGATATTACATATATGGAGGGGGATATGTATGTAACTAAAATAAGGCAAAAACAAACATTTTGGCTCTAGATGGGCCACTGGTACTCGATAGTCGATATACCAGATGAACTTAACACTATAATTACCATGCGTGCGTCGTTCTGGCAAAAACATTATTATACACGTGTACAGTTGGTTTTCTTGTACTAAGCGAACCGGATGTGATGTAATTCGATTAGATTATTTGTTTCAGTAATCTGGACACGGCATCATAGAACTGTAGTAGATAGATATACATTCCAAGCAGATGGGTTGATATCAAGGGCGATAACCCTGGGTTTTATTATCACAAATGTAGTAATATCGGACTTCCTTGTTGTGTTCCTTGTGACCGTAATAAAACTACTGGTTAGATGGTGTCTACAACTTTTATAACCCCCTCATTTCTGCAAGTTATAGACTGATCTTGGCGTTAATTTCCTTCCCAAATATGGAATAAACACCCCATTCTCCCAAGACCGGGGGGGGGGGGGCATTACCTTATTTGGTCTACCAGACACATGTTCGGATGGGACGAAAAACCGGGGTCCCGTGTACACATTGGCGTGCACATAACAGATCCCTTGGCATTTGGATTCGATATAAGAGTAGGCCGTAGTGCCGCTGTCCTGGCAAAATTTCCCTCATAGCACACTGTATGGTGTATGCCCGTCTTCCTTAGCTCAGTTCGGAACAGAACAGTAGGACGTTAAACTTCATTTCATTTTCTTCATCTCTTTAATGTAAACAATAACTGTTGAATGGTATATAGTAAATGAACCGGATAGTATACACACGACAATATGGAATACAATTACTGTTATTACTGAGCGACATTTCCATTAGGACTCTACGTAATCAAATTTTAGAGGCATTTAGTAATTGGATAGAGCAATAAACTATAACACATACTTATGGAAGAACAATTGCTGATTTATTTAGGCGACGTTTCAAAGAGTGTTCTTTCAACGTATTCTCTTCAAAAGGTCGCCTAAATAAATCAGTAATTGTTCTTCCATGAGTATTTGTTATAGTTTATGACTGTAATCTTTATGGAAGTCCTAGTTGAAACATCGCTCAGAAATAAACAGTAATTTCAGTCCATAGAATTGGACATGTGTAAACAAATAAAGTAAAATAAAATCAATTGACAAATGTGGACGACGGACGGATGGACATTAGAGACAGCATTATACGCCAACATTTCAAGGCGGGCGTATAAACATTCAATTTTCTTGACGACTATTTCTATATTTAAAGATACATTATGTGAGATTAGATAAAGAGCTGGTAGTTCTCATTATAATATAGTTAAAAACTAAATAATGTACAGGAAATTTGTAGTGAAACTGATCCACCTTGAACCGAATATTTAGCGATTAAATTTTAGTCTAGCCCTGATCATCATTACTAAAGTCGGTACGATAAAAAACATAGTCTCGGTCATCCATTTTTTGATTCAATAAGAAGCAGCAGACCGGATTCCAATCCAGTAAATATCGCAGGCTAGCGACGCCATCGAGAGTTGATTATGGTCTGGATAAGTTAATTAATGTTTAATTAATAATTTGATAAAATTTCATGCCTAAAGAAAGACCTGCAATAGGCAGATTTAGCTTTTGCATAATGTTTGTTTAATATTTAAACTTTCCTAGAAATCACTTACAAAAGACATATTGTCCCTTTACGTAACTATAAAATTATATATAAACCCATAGGTTTTCTTTAGAATTAGACGATTCTAATTTCTAGTGATAAGCAAGTTAAGGTATTTACTTGCATGGGGATTCGAATATTCTGACGTTAACAAATTTATCACAAATATAGTCTAAACAAAGTTATATATATAGTCCACATCTACCTTAAATATATAAAAACCAAAACAAAATTCAACTTTAACAATTTATTATAAATAATAAAATGATATAAAACAGTATTTGGCAATCTGCCGTAATTTGTGCTTTAAAAGATGCGTTATGTAAGATTTAAATAAACAGCTGATCGTTCTTGCTATAATAGTTCAAAAATAGATCATGAGATATGCCATATTGAAAATTTCATTTAAATTACTTTATTCTCAGACCAATTTTATTATTAAATGGTGAGAGGTTTCTAATGCATTTAATATCCGACCACTCTATGACCTAGATCTAGAAAGTTCATAATGTAATTTACCATGTAATTAAATATCTAAATAATAATTTATATAACACTGGAAGAATGTCCGGCTTCGCTCGGGGGTCATAACCCCGAAACCGGAAGTGGTAGACTAACGCCACCTGGCCTATGTTACTCCCCGGTCCGAGCTACCCCTATACCCCAAATTTCAGACTCGGGGCAGACCTAGTGTAGCCGCCAACCCCGAACAGACAGACAGACAGACAGACAAACGACAGTCACAAATATTAGTATAGATTTTAAGCTAGAAAAAGACCTGCAATCGGTAGATTCATTTCTTACATAAGGCATCTTTAACATCGGTCTATACATATCACATGTCTATACATATCACATAGATATACCTGGAGTATTTATTAACACGCCCTTCTTGACTATATTTTGGAACCTGTTACAAGACATGTGGTATTCTGTTAGAGTTCTTTTGCTAAAGGGAAGGTATTCTGAATCGTAGGCGTGAATGCTTTGTGTTAAATTGATAAACTTTGACCAATCTTATGAATCACAACGGACTAAAACATTAATTCCATTTATAGATCTACTCTACTCACTAATAACAACTATAGGAAAACCTGTAACAAAACATTCAAAAATATCATATAAGTCATGTGGCATTCAGTTGGAGTTCTTTTACTATTAGGAAGATTTTCCTAATCGTAGACGTGAATGCTTTGTATGTTTAAAAATAGATAAGCTTTGATCAATCTTTTGAATCACCACGCACTAAAACAATAATTCCATATATAGATCTACTCTACTTTCTAATAACAACTATATGAAAATCTATAACAAAAAAGAATGTACGATCGTAGTATAGACCAGGAACTGACCATGTTGTTGGATGAAATTCAGAAATCTAATGCACCAAATCGATGCAGAATTGTTCAGAGAAGAAGCATGCCAATTTTCATGTCGAAGAGCGACACCCCAAGAACAAGAACAAGATGAGTAGCGGTTAGCGAGCAGTTCCTGGTCCAAAAATCCGATAATTAAAAACAAACATGTATGCATGGGCGTCACACATGGGTTTTTTTTTGGGGGGGGGGGGGTCTGAATATACTTGGACACCCCCCCCCCCCCAAAAAAAAAAAAAAAATTTACATAGTAGGCCCAAACTCCTATTTATTTACAACAATTATTAGGATTAGTTAAGATTCTATCTGTATAAAACCTGTACATATCCCAATATGGTTTATAGACAGCATGGCCACATGGTTTTTGTTTTTATTTTTGAATGATTTTAAAAAATAGGTTAGGGTTAGGGTTAGGGGTTAGGGTTGCGCCCCCCCCCCCCAATATATATTTCACGGCTACGCCTCTGCATGTATGCCTATTCTATAAAATTAAAAAATGCTAGTTTATAACAATTAACCTAAACCTAACTAACATCGAAAAGTCTTTACAGAACAAAGTGTATGATATTTTGACCATTTCTGTAGTACATTAGTTAAATTAATGCAGGTTTTTAACGACACAAATCACCGTGTATTACAGAGAGCGAGAAATGGAGTTTAACATCCACTCGACACATTTCGGTACTAACAGAGAGGTCTAAAATGCGCGTAGGGGTCTTTAGCAGTAGGAGGAAAACGGAGGACCTGGAGAAAACCCACGAGGTTGGACAGGCGACAACGGGGGAATCGAAACCCCACCAATTGACTCAATGAGAGACCTTAAGATACAGCGCGCACACACTAACCCCCCCTCCCCTCCCCTCCCTCGCCGTGTATTAGATACTATTGGCTTTACTGTGTTTATATGGAGAACAAATCTTTACAATATTATGGTATAAAAACGTATGATGCCTTGACTGATTTGAACACTTATGTAGTACAAATGTAGTTTTTATTTTACGACAAACGAAGCTTAGTTATGGCACAAATCACAGTCTCTATAAAAAATAACGCACTGGATGGGCTACAGTTGACGCAGTTTCATGATGTTCAATTTTGATATATCGCTACTTTTTCAAAAAATATTTTTCAGTTCTGTATAGTAAATTAACGCAGTTAGTGTGTGGTTGTGGTTTGGACACAGACTTTCTACTAACATTTTAGAAGTGAAATTAACACACAAAACGTTGTTATTCAAATCCACCGGATAAAAATTTGGGAACAATGAGTTTCTCCCTGGTATCCTCTGGAATCTCAAGCAGGGTAATCATAACACCTTCATCGCGACCCTGATAAAGCATCTCCCCCTCAAAAGTCACACAGTCCCTTTTCCTAGCTCTCATCAAGATACCAACCAGTTTATTGGACACCTTTTCGTAGGCTTGGAATAATCTACCAAACGGTATTCTCATTTTATCGTCCTCCCCCTTCTCACCAAGTGCATCGATGGCGTGGCAGAGTTCACGAATTTCACCAAAAACATGATTATTCGCTTGCTTCCCTCTGATTTCTGTTAAGGAACCAGGAACAGGTTTGCCGTATTCTGGATCGTTTATATCCATTTTGGGTCTGTGAGAAGCACCTTCCCATTCTGAAAATGGATTCATTAGTTGCTTCTCTCGATGGTCTGTTTCCTTTTGTTTCCATATAGAAATGTTCCCTTTAAATTCCTGCTTAATTTCATCACAGTGGATAAGATCGGGTCGATAGGGTTTCTTGACTTCACCCTGATCAGGGTTGTTAATTTTATCTAACCAGAGACTTCTTTGATTCTCAAAATAACCTTTGATCATTTTATCATTGGCCGCATTCCTCACGCCATGTTTGATTTGAGACTGGGGTTCCTCCTTGTCCTGGTTATCAATCTTAGTCTGCCAGGACTGCTTCTGGTGGCTCACCATTATCTTGATGGTTCTATTCACTACACAAGAAAAAAAAACCAACAGTTGTGAAAAAATAGTGGGATATATTTTGAGATATCTACGGTTCCAAAAGGACATTTTATTTTTTTTTCAAAGTACTTCGATCGATCGACTAAAAATATCAATCGATTGACTTAATATATCGATAGATCGACTCATTATCTGGATTGATCGACTCTATATCTTGATTGATCGACCTAATATATCGATCGATCGCCTCAATATTTTAATTGATAGACCTAATATCTCGATCGATCGACTCAATATCTTGATTGATCGACTCAATATCTTGATTGACCGACTTAATATCTTAATTGATCGACTTAATATCTTGATTGATCGACATATGTCTCGACCGATCGACTTATTTTCCCGATAGGTCGGTTAATATATTGATCAATCGATCTACTTATTTTCTCGATTGATCGGCTATCTCGATTGATTGACTATCTCGATAGATCGACTTTATATCTCAATCGATCGAGTTTTAAGTATCTCGATCGATCTACTTTTAAGATTCTAGATGGATCTACTTATGAATCGAGTATTCATAACGAGGCTAAGGAGTGGTGTTTCCCTGTTTGGCCTCGGCTCATCGTACTCTTTGTTGAGCCTTGAATCGTGCGAATGTGTGCGGTGGTTGGACTAAGGGCCAGACTGGACAATCACTCCCCCTCGGGGCTTCGCTGCCTTCGAGACAACCGACGAAGAAAACTAAATCGATATTGATGGTGGGTTGAGACCTTCAGTCTAGAAAACACGCCCGGTTCAGCCTCGTTGTAGAAAGTCGATTGTTCTATCGATATATTATGTTGATCGATCGGGGAACTTTGGAAAAATTTAAATCGTTGGATATCCTTTCGCAACTACCGAAACCAGTCTGGGAAACACTTCCTGTTTATCCTCGTTATAGAAAATCGATCGATCGAGGTAAAAAGTCGATCGAGGTAAAAAGTTGATCGATCGAGATATTTTGGAAAATTCCAAATCTAAAGAAATACAATTACTCTTTATTACTGAGGAACGTTTCGACTAGATTTCTCTTATATTTATTATTGAGGAACATTTCAACTAGGGTGCTCTACAATTTCCGTTTATTATTGAACGGGGGTGCTCCGGTGCCTCAGTTCGTAAGACGTTGGTTCGCGAGCCATCAATTTTCCATGTTCGATCCTGGTTTTCATCGGGATTTTCCGGCGATGTTACCCCCTATCAATAACAGTGGTGCAGGACAGAGGACCTGGCAAGGTACAACGTTAGTTGTTTGGATGGGACGAAAACAAAACCGAAGTCCCGTGTACACATTGGCGTTCACGTAAAAGATCCCAAAGCAGTTGGAATTCAGTATTAAAGGAGACTGTGGAGCCGCTGCCCGGGCAAAATTTCCCTCATAGCACAGTATGCACAGTATATGGCGTATTCCCGTCTTTATAAACCAAGTCGAAGCAGAACAGTTGGCCGTTAAACCCCATTTCATTTCATTTCATTTATTATTGAACGTCGTTTCGATTAATCTCCTCAAGTCTATCTAGCCAGTATCATAGAAAAAAACAATTACATTCTGGGAATTATCTCTTGACATTAAATTGATGATTCCATATCCAGTTACTGGTCCACCCAACACGCCTAAACATTACAATATAAACTGACATTATACGAAATGGCAGTAAGAATTTGAATCCAGGACTCATTCACCATCAAACGCTCTTTAAACTTCCGATTATGCTTGAGAAATCGCACCTAAAAGTGGGCCTACAATTGTGTCTGGAATGATTGAGGATTGTCTGGAATTTAGAACAATCATACCAGGTCAAATCAAAGTCATTGTTTTGCGCAGGTACACGTAACTGTTCTCGAATACCTATATAGTAAAGCGGAATAAATTCTATCATAAAAGTTCCAAAAGCCAAACTAACGGAACCTATCCTAATCGTTAGAGTCTCTCTTAAAACCGCGCTATTAAGATAACGAGCAAATGTTGTAGAATCTGCTAAAAATAGTATCTCGGTTACAATAGTTCTATGATTATCAAACTGAATACGACGCCATTCTATAACGTCATAACCAATATCCTAAACTACCTTATCAATCTTTATTCTCAAATACATTAGCGGTCTATACAGGTAATATATTAATCACGTCAATATGTAATGTAAGTATCTATCTTATTTACCTTGTTTATTAAGGGTAGAATAAAGTTGGTACAAAGTTCTGCTGCTGCCTACATCTTATCACTGTGTCGACAGGTGGCTACGGGCCAAGGTAAGATGGTTGGTTGGTACCTATATAGTCTATTTTTAGTAAGAGAAATCTGAACTTAAAGAATCTGTGAAGACTTTGTTTATCTCAGTCAGAAATATGTTAACACTCGTCCGGTCTGTTCCTGTCAATAAAATAGTTTTGTCTCGCTTTCAGCTATTTTAATGTTTTCATTCCCGAAGAATAGGGAGGAATTTTAGACACTTATTTTTATTGCTTGTTCTTCATCTGTTCGTATTAGTTTTATATCACAGCTGACAAAAAATACAGAAATGAAACGAGAAGCGGGTTTAACGACTTGCTTGTCTGGACTAACTGGCATAATAATTGACAGCCACCACGAATTGTGCTATTATTTTGCCCCAACCGAGACTTTTAATACTGCTGCCAATGGTATAAATATGGCCTCGTCGCCTCATGTTTTCGTCCCATTCGAACGACTAAGGCCTTCATAGCTGACAAGAGTAAACCTGTGTATAGACAAAATTGCGCGCACGATAATCAGTAGCAGGGAGCCAAGGTGGTCCGGCCACCTCACTCCCTTACTCAGACTTGGGCTCAAAGTCCAGGTTCCGCCCCTGGATGGCACAGTGGCTAAGGCGCTGGCTGACCAACCAGAGGTCGAGCTCAATCCCGGTGTTGACCAAGAAAGTTCCCATTGCATTCTTGCAGGACAACGGGCCTGGCAAGGAAGAGCGTCTAATCGTTTGGATGGGAAGAAAAGCCTATATCCCGTTTACATGTTGGTGTGCAAGTAAAAGAACCTTTGGAAGTTAGGAATTCAATTGCTGTCCGGGCAAAATTGCAACCCGTCTTCATACAGTTGGTGTAGAAAAGTAGGACGTTAAACCCGAATTCATTCATTTTATTGTAGCAGTTAAGTATAAAAGCACAACCAAAAGTGGTAAATAAAGGGAGAGAAATCCAGTAAATGAATGAATGAACGAATGAATGAGAGAGAGAGAGAGAGAGGGGGAGAGAGAGGGAGAGAGGGATGGGGGTTAACGTCCACTCGACACAGACCATGTCATTTCGGGACTAACATGGTTTAATTTTATTTCAATAATTCGCTTGCGCGTAGGGGTCTTTAGCAGTCGATGGCGTGGTTTCGAATCCCCAGGTGGTACGTGGCAAGGAGTAGGGTCGCCTGTCCAATCTCGTGGGTTTTCTCCGGGTCCTCCGGTTTCCTCCCACTGCTAAAGACCCCTACGCGCAAGCGAATTATTGAAATAAAATTAAACTATATGTTAGTCTCGAAATGACCTAGTTTGTGTCGAGTGGACGTTAAACCCCATTTCTCTCTCTCTCTCTCTCTCTCTCCAACCGGGCTATATTGCGCCAAACATATGGCGAAAGATGAGGGGGGCTAAATTAATAATTCGCTTGCGCACAGGGGTCTTTCGCAGTGGGAGGAAACCGGAGAACCCGGAGAAAACCCACGGAGGTGGTGGATAGGCGACCTTACTCCTTATCTCGTACAAGCGGGGAACCGAAACCACGCCACTGTCAGACCTTATGATCAAAACCATTCGCAGCCCCCTCCCCACCCCCTATACAAGGAATGAAAAGAAATGGTGTTTATGTTCCACTGTTCTGCTCCGAACAGCGGCGCTGTGGCCTAATCTTATTTCGAATTCCAGCTGTCAAGGGTTCTTTTAAGTGCACGCCAACGTGTATTTTTGTCCTATCCGAACAACTTGACCATTTCCTTGCCAGACCTTCCGCCCAGCAACCACTGACAAGGGGATGAAATAGCATAACCGAGTTTTAATAGTCTACATTTACCTTTAAGGGGACATTATAGAAGATCAGATAAAGAGTTGACTGTTCTCGGCTATAATAGTTAAAACATAGATGGCGTAAATAGAATATGCTGAAAATTTCAGTGAAATTGTTCCAATCTGAACCGAGATATTAGCTTTTAAATTTTTGAGTAGCCTCGATCATCATTACTAAAGTCGTTACGATAAAAAAACAAAGTCTCGATTAATTATTTTTCAAAAAATGTATTCCAATCCATTAAATATCGCAGGCTAGCGATGACATCGAGAGTTGACTATGGCCTGGATAAGTTAATTAATGTCTAATTAATAATTCAGGTTACATTTTAGGTCTACAGAAAGACCTGCAATAGACAGATTTAGCTCTTGCATAATGTACGTTTAATATATAAAAACCAAAACAAAATCCAGAATGGCGATTTAAACTTTAACAATTTATTATAAATAATAAAATGATACAAAATAGCATTTAGCAACCTGCTTTTAATATAAGTCTATACATATCACATATATATACCAGTTTATTAAACACACCCTTTCTAAATATATCTCTGGAACCTATTATATAAGACATGTGGCATTCAGTTGGAGTTCTTTTACTATTAGGAAGGTATTCTTAATCGTAGGCGTGAATGCTTGTTACTTTGTATTAAATAGATAAGCTTTGACCAATATTATGAATCACTACGAACTAAAACAATAATTCCATATATAGATCTACTCTATACTCTCTAATAACAATTATTATGAAAAAATATTATTTAAAACATTTGGTATTCTGCTGGGGGTCTTTTGCTATTAGGAAGATATTCTTAATCGTAGGCGTGAATGCGTGTTGCTTTGTATTAAATAGATAAGCATTGACCAATCTTATGAATCACTACGAACTAAAACAATAATTCCATATATAGATCTACTCTACTTTCTAATAACAATTATATGAAAATCTGTAACAAAAAAAAAACAACAAAAAAACATTCGATATAAATATAGACACACGCGACATTTAGAAAATCAAAACAATCGTGCTTGTAGTCTCCAATTGACATAATAATAATACCTTAAACGTCTCATAAAATTTTAAAACAGAACAACGTCTTTAAAATGTTCGGTTTGACCAATTGTGAGGAGTGTGTCCAATTTCAGTTAGTACTTAAAAAAAGATATGATGAATTGAAAAGTTCGTAACATTCGTCATTCTATGCAGATAATATATAAAGAAGTGTTTGGTCAAATCTGTTGATGGATCTATTGATGGATCTCTTTCGAACCCGGTTGAATCCAAGCCAGAAGATCATCTATCCTTTTTATTTTGGGTGTCTTAACAATGAAAATGACGAACAGAAGCTTTAACGACAGCGAAGTTCAAAAATCGTACACATCAACCTCCATGAAACAATTAAATTGGATGGGTGACTATTGACCCAAAGTGTTCAATTTGAATATATTCATAATATATTTTAAAACATAATTCTCATCCTTGTGTGCTACTTAACCGATTAACGCAGTGAAAATATTAGTGGTGCTGAGATGGTGGGTGGGTTGGGGCATCCATTTCAGAGGGGCGTCCAACTGGGTAACTGCACTTAATTAATGTGGCTGATTTATGTTTTTTATTCGTATTTAAAATGTATCCCGTTCTTATATTTCTTAGTACAGTGATTCTCAACAGGTGTGCCGCGAGATCTTTCTAAGTGTGCCGCGAAATTTTGAACGGCTCACTAAGAAAATGTGGAAAAAAAAACACGTGATCCCAACTTGGTATTCACAGGTGCCTACTGATAAGTTCATAGCTGTGTTTTTCTTTATTTAGTTCGAGACATTCTATGTGTCTATGACTAATCTCTATCTACGGTTGTATTCCGTCTGAGTTACCATGTTTTTATTTTGCAAAATTCAAATATTTTTCATATATATTTAGCCAGGTGTGCCGTTGGCCGTTCCAAGGTGTGCCGTTGGCAAAAAAAAGGTTGAGAATCACTGTCTTAGTATTAGGCACAATATATGAGTCTTGGGGGCAGGCAACCAATGCGTTCTTCCCTAACATCACCAAACTCCTGCTCGTCACTATAATAGAAAGTATCCACGGGTATATGTCGGAATAGCTTGACATTATCAAAATGCTGAAAAGCGTGTTTCGACTGATGTTCAATCTCAAGACAATTGTTAACAAGTTCTGTTTCTGTGGTCAAACCAAAAGGTCAACTCCAAAATCACTCACAGATTTATTTTGAGAACAACAAAATTTCATCTCTGTTCATATTTTTGGTTTGTACACAGACTTTCTGTGAACTTGTTAGAATTGTAATTGACACACAAAACGCTGTTATGCCAACCAAAAAGTTAAAGCAGCTAAATCGCCAATATTTGGGACCTAGAAATTGACACGAATGGGCCGCAACGCATATAATGTAATATGAATGTATATAAACTGATTTATATTAAATCGTTTCTGTTTTTACTCTAATTTCAAATCGGTTCTGTTCGGCGAAATACGCCACAAGTGTCGATCGAATAGCAATCTCTAGCGTCTGATTATTCCAGTCTACACCTGCTCTCCAGGTAATAATATGGCCTCACCGTTTGGCATGCCTTGTGGAATATGTCTGCGAGTCACTTACTATATATAAAATGGCACTGAAACGCATTATGGTACACGATTTGTGTACCAATGGTAAAATGTTTATTTTATCTTAAATATTGGATATCAGAAGCTCATCTTTTCACGATACGATAACAACACAAATGTTGATTTAAATTGACAAATAATTTGTGTTTTCAGTGTCGAAGATTTTGGATGATATTAAGTTAGAGACTTAGCTACTTTAACTCGATTTACTCACAGATTTATTTCGTCTCTGTCCATGTCTTTGGTTTGCACACAAACTGTATGCAAACATATTAGAATTGTAATTCACATACAAAACGCTGTTATACAAATCCACCGGATAAATCTTTAGGAACATCGAGTTCTTCTCTGGTATCTTCTGGAATCTCAAGCAGGGTAATCATAACAGCTTCATCACGTCCTTGATAAAGCATTTCCCCCGGAAAAGTCAAACAGCCCCTTTTCCTAGCTCTCATCAAAATACCAACCAGTTTACTGGACACCGCTTCGTAGATTTGGAATAATCTACCAAAAGAAATTCTCATTTTATCGTCCTCCCCCTTCTCACCAAGTGCATCGATGTCCTTGCAGAGTCCACGAATTTCACCAAAAACATGATTACTTGCTTGCTTCCCTCTGATATCTGTTAAGGACCCAGGGACAGGTTTGCCGTATAGTGGATCGTTTTTATCCATTTTAGGTCTGTGAGAAGCACCTTCCCATTCTGAAAAGGGATTAATTAACTGTTTTTCCCGGTGTTCCGTTTCCATCTGTTTCCATAGAGAGATATTTCCTTTAAACCCCTTCTTAATTTCATTACGGATACTGTCAGGACAATCGGGTTTGTCGACATCGTTCTGATCAGAGTTGGGGATTGCATTATTCTTCACGCCAGGTTGGATTTGAGACGGAGGTTCTTCCTTGTCCTGACTAACTATCTTATTCTGCAAGGACTGTTTCGGTTGGCTCGTCATTTTCTTAATGGCTCCGTTCACTACACAGAAGAAAAGAATCAGATGTAAAAATGTAATAAATTTAGAATAAAAGTTAAAAAAAATAGTGGGATACAGGAGAAACAAAATGAGCTGCTGTCATGAAGAAAGACTACTGTCGAGTACTAAATACTGAATTATAGGCATCGGACATATTTTCTATACGACAGGGGTGTGGTCACGCATGAGGAACAAGATCGCGCCCGGCCCCCCAAAATACAATATTTATATGTGTGCGCGGGAGGTGGTGGTGGTGGTGGGGGGAGGGGTGCGCCGGGTAATATCGAGCTGTGTGAAACACGCTCGAGACGGTTTGTAGCATATCTGACCCACGGTATATGTTTGACACTGGTTAAGCATTATGATTATGAATATTATGTTGAAAACCGCATTGAAACCGCGTGATTTTTTTCCATTTGCGAGAACAGAAACTCAAAGGGGCGCAAAAACTCAAAACAAAGACACAAAGCTATAGATGCTTTGGGTATCGGGAAAAAGTATTAGAAATGGGCTGTACAACGAGGGGACATTTTATCCGGACAACGGCACTACGGCACCGCGTGCCTGATCATTCTCTAGTAAGAATAACCAGTCGGGTTTGTTTTAAATTCAGTGGCTGCTTATTTTATTCCCGTTAAAATATGAAATTACATCTCTGACACGATATTATAATAAATATGGTTGTACCACCAAGATGAAAAATAGCAAAATTGTAAAACGCAAATTCTTGACTGTAAATTAAAATATCCAACCTCGTGGGTTTTCGCCGGGTCCTCCCACTGCTAAATACCCTACGCCCATGCGAATTATTGAAATATATAAAAATTGAACCATGTGTTAGTCTCGAAATGAACTAGTTTGTGTCGAGTGCACGTTAAACCTCATCTCCCCCCCCCCCTTTCTCTCTCTCTCTCTCGTAAATTAAAAAATCTTACTGGTTCATCAAATTACAAATTTTGCTTAAACCGACACGTTAAACAATCGCACAGGATTCAATCACTTATATATCATACACTCCAATTATGCTAAAGAAATCACGCCTAAGAGTGGGGCAACAATTGTGTTTGTGATGATTGAGGAGTGTCTGGAATTTTCATCAATCACAGTGGGTCAAATCAAAGTCATTGATGTGCGAAAGTATACGTAATTATTCTCAAATTCCCAGTAACGCGGTATAAATTTAAAATTGTGTAATGATGAAAGTTACCAAAGCCAAACGGAACCTATATATGATAATCCAGTAGTGTTTAAAACCGCGCTCTTCTATGCCAGAAAATCTGCTAAAAATAGTGTCTCGGTTATCATCTTATAGGCCGATGCATATCAAACTAAACATGATGCCCAATTCCATATAAATAACGTCATCGGCAATATCTTAAACTATCTTATCGATATGTCTATTCTAATACATGTAAGTACATTATAGGTCTATATCAATCACGTCAATATGTAATGTAAGTATCTATCTTATTTACCTTGTTTATTAAGGGTAGAATAAAGTTGGTACAATGTTCTTCTGCTGCCTACATCTTATCACTGTGTCGACAAGGTAAGATTGTTGGTTAGTACCTGTGTAATCTATTTATAGATAGAGAGGAAGCAGAAGAACTTATAGAGTCTGTAAAGGTTATGTTTATCTCACCAACTCGGTTAATGATAACAGTCTCAGTTTTTGTCTCATCCGAAAGACTAATCGCCTTTTTGAAGGGCGTCCCGTCCTGTATTGCTAACAAGGGGAATATCACGAAGAACTTCATTGGCCAACAGAGGGATCTAACCACCGTGGCTCCAAAACTAATTGAGAGAGAGAGAGAGAGAGAGAGAGAGAGAGAAGCACATAGTTAAACCATAAGTCGTGAGTTCGACCCTGCATCGTCTGCCTACTGTCAATTAAAGAGACATCCGCGCGTGAGAAATATTAAAATAAACAAAGTTCATGTTTGTCTAATAAAATAAACCTCGCTGTGTTGAGTGGGTGTAAAGCCACCAATCCAACAGCTGTATTAAGGGGGTGTTATATCTCACATCAGCTGATCAGCTGCCAATCTAAACAGGTTGGGTGTTCGATCCCTGCATTGGCCGAGAAAGTTCGTCCAGATTTTCCGGCGTGATTCTCCCTTGTCAGTGATGCAGGACGGAGGGCCTGACAAGGACAGCTGTCTAGTCGTTCGGATGGGACGAAAAGCCGAGGTCCCGTGTACACATTGGCGTGCACGTAAAAGATCCCTTGACAGTTGGAATTCGATATAAGAGTAGGCCGTAGTGCCGCTGCCCGGACAAAATTTCCCTCACTGCACACTTTATGGCGTATGCCCGTCTTCATTGGCCCAGTTCGGAGCAGAACAGTAGGACGTTAAACTCCATTTCATTTCATTTCCAATCTAAACAATGATTTTGATATGGATTTAATACGGGGGCAATTTGGCCTTAAAATGCTGAAAAAGAGAGAGAGGGAAACGAGGTTTCACATCCACTTAACAAAAACTAGGTCATTTCGGGGTTAACACGTGTTACTATTCTATTTCAATAATTCGCTTACGCGTAGGGGTCTTCAGCCGTGGGATGAAATCGGAGAAACCCCACGAGGTTAGGCAGTCGACCTTACTGATCGAAACCATGCCACGTGGGTCAACGAAAGGTTTTACGATCTAAATCACACCCATTAAACCATTCGTCCACATAGCCTCCATAAAATACGAAAAAGGAGGAGCCACAAAATTGTACATTTCGACAACATTACATGGAGATGGGTGGATTGATTAATTCAAAAGAAATACTACATGGACCACACCACCGTACATTAACTAATCAACCATTTTGTCTGCAGATGGTCCCAGACCCCCAAAAAACATTTTAGTAGTCTAGGGTAAAAAAAAAAAAATAAACACCAGGGAGGCAAACCTTTGATTTTGCTGAAATTTTGATTTACACATGTATATGCTTAATTTGGCTGAAAAGTCGATGGTTTGCATTTTAGCTTGATCAGACTACGGTTACTCAGATATGAATCCTTCAATTTCGGTGATTTCGGTCAAAACCAGGCCCGTAACTAGAGGGGCGCTGGGCAAAAAGTTTTGTCCCCCCCTGTGAATTTTTTTTTAACCATAAAAAAAAATAGATATACATTGTCCGTCAATATTACAGCACCCCCGAGAACACTTCCCGCCCCCTCGTTGCTCTGAGCTAGTTACGGCCCTGGTCAAAACAATATTCAAATGGATATAGCTCTGTAACCCATTGGTCAAAATTGCCGAATTAAGTATTTCTGGACAGGTAAATCCACATAGTAGACAGTGAGTGTTAAAAGTTGCGATTATTTATCCACGATTTTTCGTCGTCGACGTATAATCTTTAAGGCAAGTCAATTTTGCAACCCGGCATTTTTTCGTCGATAATACGAGATCGTTATATTTATTTCTTTGGGGGTATATTAGTGGATTAATACACAAGGCTGTTATAAATATTTTATTTAATGACAACAAGGAACACTCCCAGCGCAATTTACAGTTTCGTCTGACTTTGTGTCAATCTTCATATCACCAATACAAACTAAACAATCACGTCCTTGGAATTTTGGCGGGAAATACTTCTTTATACAGTCTTCGGCTTTGTTACCCACTAGAAGTTCGTCTGTTACAAAGTTTATTTTTGGAGAAACGAGAGAACAGTTATCGCCGCCACACTTCATAACATCTGGTATTAAAAACTCATTATTGAAATTGCTGTAGTCTATTACAGTAATGTTCATAACTTCTGCTGATTCATCTAAACAACATTCATGGACATCGGTGACTCCCGTAGCTCTATCGACACACTGGCCGATTAGTCCGTACTGTTCTCTTGTCAATGTTATCATAGTTCCGTAAAACCTGGAACTGTTCTCATAAAAACATAAATATGCCACGCCCTCGGCACTAATCTCTTCCATTTGTTCTGGAAGTAAAATAGAAAAACAAAATGTTCTAAAATTTATTTATGATGTTAGTAAGAGAGACAGAGAAATGGGGTTTAACGTCCACTCGACACAAACTAGGTCATTTCGGGACTAACATATGGTTTAATTTATTTTATTTCAATAATTCGCTTGTGCGTAGGGGTCTATTGCAGTGGGGGGGGGGGGACCGGAGGACTCGGACAAAACCCACGAGGTTGGACAGGCGATCCAACTCCTTGTCACGTTCAACCGGGGATTCGAAACCAAGCCAGTTGACTCATTGACAGGCCTTATGATACAGAGCGCACGTGCTAACGATTCGGCCATCCATCCCCCCCCCGCCATTTACCTAGGATTAGGAAGGCTAAATTGCTACGAGAAATCTTTAACATTATATATACATGTAGTTTGGAACAGGCTTAATTTTAATCCTACATGACTATGAGTCTGTGAAACGACGGCGGGATGAAGGGTTATAATTTTTATTTCGTAGTCCATTTTTGACAATCATTCTGTCTTACTGCCATGTAAATCTTTGGCAAATTTTCAGTAACGGTGTTCAATCATGTTTCGATGGTATTAGTGAGTGTGAATGCACGTGGAAAGGGTTAACTAAAGGGAGGCAAATCCAGTATATTAACCAAAAAAGTGAGATAAATGGATATTTACAAAGAATGTTTTGCGTAGGTCTTAAGTTACACCATGGACCTGCTCAGTATTACTTCCTCTTAAATATCTTTTCTAAATACAAAATTAAATAGCTTCCATCTAGAGAATTACGTAATCTATCCTGATTGAGTGTTTCTTAATTTGCCCAAACCATAGATAATCCTCACTTGGATGAACTCAATCGCAGAACCGAGTTTTAATCCGAGTCAGGCATGTGGTCCAACCCAAAAATATAAAAACAAATGGAAAAGTGTTACTTGTAGTTAATAATTTACCTGCATAAACCATACGAAAGGTGAGTCGCTAATTTATATCTGTCTGCGAAATTAATAGGTACCCCACCCCATCGAACAAAATAAGCAGAACCACTACTGTTTCCAACAGAAATAAACTAAGTAGTCCTCTTGGAAAATATTTTATTTAGAGTAATCCCCCCTTGTGTTTGACCTTGAACTCCTTGTTATGGATTGAGAATTGTTGGTAAGACCTTTAGGTTTTATAACTTTATTTCATCAGGAAAAGTTCAGAAGAACAGTAATTTTGAGACGTATAAAGAAAGCAAGGCGTTTGTCGTTATTCTTTGCAATTATATTTTTTAAAGCAAATAAATCTGCAGCTATTGCCAGGTTACCGGCCGGTTTCTTTTTTTAGGGCAAGATTTTCCTGTTTCAAGACCAAGTACATTTATTTATTTAGGCTATATGTCACCATGTTATTTCTTTTCTTTGTAATTTCAAATTAATTAATGATTAATGTATTTTAATACATGTATGTTTTTGATTCGTTTTGCTGTATGGAAGACTTGATGTAATAAATATCTTATCTTCTACTGTCAACATTTTGGAATCTCAGATTTAAGGATTCCCCTCTTCGTTACTTCGTAATCAATCAAAATTATAGGGTAGACTCAGTAAGATTGAATAATCCAGCCTCTGAACTCTGATAGCCCTAAGTGTCTGTACCAGACCAGAAGACTTTTATAAAGGGACTGGATTAGGATTCCTCTTTTCATTATTGATAGGGTAACTGAATAATCCAGCCTCTGATAGCCCATAGTGTCCGTATCAGACCAGAGCTTTTGTCACTTTGTCAGTCAGTTATAAATATCCTGTACCCACCAACTTAGACTAAGTTCTTAGTGTGTGTGGTACTGAAAAGTTTGTCTTTGTTGGAATACAACGGCAATTATTAATTTACTTGGTTCATTTTACAGTCAAGAATGTTCGAAAAGACAGAATTACAATTGTTGCAAGAGTAATCAGTAATCTAGTCCGAAATGTCTGACCCCATGTTGTGGTTTGACCTTGTACCCGGTTAGGCTAAGTTCAATCCAACATGCCATGGGAATGTAACTTGAGTGAAAAAGTATTAATTATCAGAGTGTTCTAAAATTTGTTCAATTAGCTTTCAATTTTTGTATCTTTTTTGATAGGTTGATGGATGTGCAAGGCTCACCACAGAAAAGGATTTCGACTTTTACTAGACTTAGCAGAAAATATTTCATCACAGTAGCCTTCCCGGTTATTTCTTTCACCATTATTTTTCTGGATTACAACAGAACAAGGAAATTTAAGCTACAGAAACAAAGAGAAGAAGGATTAAGAGCAACTGACAATAAAATCTAAAGGTAAAAGAATTGAACTAAATACAGTAGAGCCACGTTCAGTATGTTCTGCACTGGATCAGAGTGATAAATTAATAAAGGCAGGCCTCAAGGCCAATTTAAACAGTAGAGGACCTTCAGACAGTTATTTAAGAAATGTCATTAATGTGTAATCATTCAAGCAAAGACCTTAATAGGAGAACCTAAACATTAGATATTAGGAAAGTCCTTCTGACCACATATTCCTGAAGCAGTGGCCTGAGAAACCCTTGTCTAATCAAACGAAGCACTGCGAGGATGAGGAGTATGTTATAGCCACTGTTCTAACATCTTAGGTTTCAAACACATGTGGGATGAAAGTAGGCCAGTCATCCTCAGACAATCAAATCCAAAACAGTTCTGATGTGTATGTAAAAAATAAAGCAATACAGCTTCCTTTCCAAATTATGTAAATTTCACTTTTATTAGGGGAGAGAGAGATCTTGGCTTTAGATCAGTATCCGATTTAAAGCTACTTCCCAGAAAAGTATTTATCGGGTGGTTATTTTCAATGAAAGTATGGCAATTTTGGTATATACATGTATGGAAAGTAGAAATATCCAATCTTATTTGAAAAATACTGGATTCCCTGAAAAACACTTATGGGGCACATACTGGACAAAAATGTACATTTTGATAAACTTTATCAAGAATTAGACGTACAACACTTTCTGAGATAAAAATCACGGAAAAAGGCGGATAATCCGAAAATTTAATTAGGCTTCGATATTTGTAATAAATAGTCAGCGATTAAAGACAACATCGTCTTGTGTAAGCAATGAATTCTCCTCCGTCTTCGCTTGCGTTGCTAGGTACATGTATCGAGAGAGGTAAGTCATGTGACACAAACATGAATGTATCTTTAAGTGTTGTGATTTCTATCCTTTACTTTTATAAGTCTCAAAGTAGTGTTGCCTCTCAACCATGTACCTGTATGTGAAAATCACAACATTGCTTTCATTCCTTTGAATTTGAAGGCAAAGGAATAATTTGGAATTTCTCTTTTTTGTCAAGGAAACGTGGGCCTTTAGCGTGACTCTCAACATTAATCTGTATTCCTATTCCTAAATGACTTTTGAAATTGAAGACAACGGGACAGAATAATATTTGGGATTTTTATATTGTCAAATGTTGGTCTTTAATACATATGTTGCTTGATGTCTGTTTACACGGAATATGTTTTATTGTTTATTTCAGCAAAATGTTGATGTTTCAACCCAGATTTTTCAAATACTATGCAGGTCTTCTCCCTGTATTTGCGGCAGTGTTTGCCGGTAATTATTATGATAAGAGAGCGGAAGAACTCATTCTGTCCGAACCCAGAAGAGGAAAGTTATTTGGACCCAAAAAAGAGGAGACTGAGGTTATGGAATAGGGGTGTATTTAATAAACAGAAAGACTTCTAATAATTAGATGTGACATAGTGCGAAGTACAAACTTTATTCAATATGTGAGAAATATCAGATTAAATATATGTTGATATCTACATTCTTCTCTTGTTTTTATTGGGAGAGTGGGGTAGGGCCAGTGGTTTAATAGAACTTGAGGTCTAGAAACTGTGTCATTGTTTTGACACATACATGTATAGTAAGTGCAGGTCGACCGCACTACACACAAACAAAACCGATAAGACAAAACTGCGGACAAAACAAACTACACAGACATTGTAACAAATATCAAATGTGACAAGAAGCATTGCCGTCGGTCTATCCTCTGGTCTCCTTCAACTTCATAATACCCCTGCAATCTGCATGCAAACTGCCAGAGTTATGGCCCTTGATCACTTCAAAAAATCTTGTGGACGCTCTAGAGGCCAAACTTAATATCTGATTGACTTTAAATTTATACACAGTGTTTAAGGTCATGAGACGAAGAAGCCTATTGATTTTCAGCGATTTCCAATAATTACTGCCAGAGTTATGGCCCTTGATCACTTCAAAAAGTTTTGTGGACGCTCTAGAGGCCAAACTTAATATCTGATTGACTTTAAATTTATACACAGTGTTTAATGTCAGGAGACGAAGAAGCCTATTGATTTTTGGCGATTTCCGATAATTACTGCCAGAGTTATGGCCCTTGATCACTTCAAAAAATCTTGTGGACGCTCTAGAGGCAAAAGTTAATATCCGATTGACTTAAAATTTATACACAGTGTTTAAGGTCATGAAATGAAGAAGCCTATTGATTTTCAGCGATTTCTGATAATTACTGCCCGAGTTATGGCTCTTGATCCCTTCAAAAAAATCTTGTGGACTCTCTAGAGGCCAAAGTTATTATATCCTATTGACTTTAAATTTATACACAGTGCTTAAGGTCATAAGACGAAGAATCCTATTGATTTTCAGCAATTTACGATAATTACTGCCAGAGTTATGGCCCTTGATCATTTTGAAAAATCTTGTGGACGCTCTAGAGTCTAAAGTTAATTTGCGATTGACTTTAATTTTATACACAGTGTCAGTGTTTAAGGTCATGAGACGAAGAAGTCTATTCATTTTCAGTGATTTTCGATAATTACTGCCAGAGTTATGGCCCTTGATCACTTCAAAAAACCTTGTGGATGCTCTAAAGGCTAAAGTTAATATCTGATTGACTTTAAATTTATACATTTTCAAAGATTTCTGATAATTACTGCCAAAGTTATGGCCCTTGATCACTTTGAAAAATCTTGTGGACGCTCTGATGCCAAAGTTAATATCCGATTGACTTCAGATTGATACACAGAGTTTTAAGATCTTGAGACGAACAAGTATATTAATTTTCAATGAATTTTTATGACTTGGAACAGCTAAATCCATGATACAGTATTAAAAGTTTTGTATACAAAACGTTAGCATGGGGCAGAACTTTATAAAAACCAAACAAATTCTAATGGTTTTCTGAGTTGTTGCTTTTAATCAGATTTTAGTGTATTATAAATGTTTCATTACCGAAAAAAAGTAAAAATATGCGACAACTCTTGTTGACTGCCCGGACAATTTAGCTGCTGTGGGCGTATGTTTCGTTGCCTGGCAACCTATCTTTATCCAGCATTTATAAGGAATATAGTCAAACCTAAATTTTTTCCATTTACCTCCCACTCCTAAATGACCCTTGCATGCAAATAAGGAATATAGTCACCTGTCAAACCTAAATTTTTTCCATTTACCTCCCACTCCTAAATGACCCTTGCATGCAAATGAATAATTGAAATAAAGATATGCCATATGTCAGTCCCTAAATGGGAAAGTTTGTGTCAACTGGACATTAAACACTCGACCAATGGTTGGTATAAAAGCCCTCGAAAGGGGCTATACTATATACCGGAAAACTGCCGGAAAACACCATGTTCTACTGAATACCGGAAAAACACTAAATACCGGAAAACACCCTAAATAGGTAACCCAGAGAAGGGCTATACTATAAACCGGAAACTAACCCTAACTCTAACCCAGGCACACAGAGGACCAGGATCCAGGTTACCTAGTAGGGTGCCAGTCTCCGGGTTACCTATTTAGGGTATTTTCCAGTATTTAGTGGTTTTCCGGTATTCAGTATAAAATGGTGCTTTCCGGTAGTTTTCCGGTATATAGTATTGCCACTCGAAATGGCAACACAGATCCTTGGAGTCAAATTTGCGATTTGTTACACATTTATTCCACAATGTAAAATTTTGTTTATTATTATAATATAAACATATATTTAATACAAACAAGTACAAAACTATACTATATATCAAATCATCATATTAAAGGCCAGAAAATTAAAGCCACTTTCCTTTTTTTATAGAAGACACATTTGAAGAGCCCCGGGGAAGAACGATCAAAGTCACTTTTTCAACGAACCCCAGTTAATGGCACCATCTGGTAGCAAATTGTATAAGCTTTCTGTGGAACAATCAATTTCAGGTAAAACGTTCGGAGTCACATCAAACCAAGGCCCTTCTGAAATGGCCTCCCAGACAAATACCTCCATCGTACCCTTTATTTGACCTTAATTTGGCAGAAAAGTTGAAGTCAGTTGTTGTACTGGTAATTATGATTCGTATTAAACATCATTTTGAAGTTGTAATTAAACCCACTCGTTGTTCTGTTCGTGTCAAGCATTCTCGTCCAAAAGTCTGTTTTGCCTTTTATGCGAAAAGACAAAAATGTGACTTAGATCATTCTTCCCCTGGAATCTTCATTTTAATTAATAAATTAAAGATACTTAGGAACATTTATTTAAAACCTCAATGAATTTGTCAGTCTCCTTATTTAAATTTAACAATGATAAGGATTGAAAAGGGTTCTTTAAATATGAAGTAATCTAAATGATTATAACAAAAAATGAATGTTAGATGCCATCTTGGCTCGATGTTTGTAGATGAAAATGAAATAGCACTTAGAGAAAAACAAAATGGTTGAATAAAATCCATTTTTGGAACTAATATGTTATTTAGTAAGACTATATCCATCTCCATTTCTTTAGATGTCTCAAAGAAAACATCTTTTGATATGAAGAAAGTACCCACATAACCATTGTGGGACATTTTGTATAAGATAGAGAAAAATTAATACAAAGGATGAATGATATGATTGAAGTATAAGTACACTTTTATAAAAATGGAATGTATACAGTAATAACAATATGGTCAATGTTTGAATTTATATCATATTCACCAAGCAATAATAGGTTGAGCAGTCCTCAAAGGTTGTCACGTAACGAATCTTGAGGGAAATAAAATTCAAAGAAAATATACCTTATCATATTAACATACCACCCCGACAAGATTCTATGACAGAATCAAGGGAAATAACTGATGTCGTTAAGAGATTCACAAGATTCTGAGCAAGGGCGATATGTGTTACGGTAAAATATAAATTTTGAAAAAGATTGGATGGAATGTAGTATGTAGAGTGTTTACAAGAACTAGTGAACAATGGACAGACAGGGGCGACAACAATATACAACCACATTCAAATGTGGACATATGAAAACTATTAATTTTATACCGTTTAATATTCCAAATAATTTTATAAACTAGCCTAATTATCGAAAATCGGAGCTTTGGTCTACATATTGAGTAACCTATTTTGCATCAGCGTTTCACTTAACCTTCTTTATTACTTATACATTAATAATAAGAAATAAAATAAAAGTGAGATTTGTCTAAAGACTGAAACCAATCTGATATTTAAATGATATTTTTATACACAGCCATCAATATACAAGTAATAGACTGGCTTTAATTTTAAATAAAACTTTTCATAAATAAACAAAACGGTCAACAACAACATCAGACAAAATGATATAGATATTGAGACAATATAAGATATCTATAAAAAGGCACAATTCCAAAACAAGTCATCACTTTCAAGCATTAATGTCATTCTGAAAATGTTTTGAACAAATAGGCTAGCTCTAACATAAATATATAACAATTAGTCCTTGGACGGTTCATTGGAGTAAACAATAACGACAAAAAGATTCACAACAATTTCATGTTGCATTCTAATATGAATACTAATATCATGATATGATTTGTATAAAATATTAACATTATCCCTTCTACCCTACAACCTCTACTACAGTATGATGTTACAGCTGACATTTTGACTACAGAGGTTTTTAACCTTAATCCTTACCAGTTAGCACATAGTTACCTTTGGGGTGTTTGCCGAAACATCAGTCTATATTGTCAAACCTATGTATATATAATATATAAAGAGCTAATTTATATACAAAATGGTGTAGACGGGTGGTTTACACCATTCCGGCTCAAAAGAGATAATTGTCCAGTCAGATATCTATGGTCAATATAAGTATTAGAGGTGTCCATAACACATGAAGACAGGTGTGAAAACATGATTTATTGTCAAACCTATGTGTATACTATATATATAAAGAGCTTATTTATATACAAAATGGTGTAATACACCTTTCCCGCTCAAAAGAGATAATTGTGCAGTCAGGTATCTATGGTCACTATAAGCATTTAAAGACCAATTCTGCTGCACAAATTTAGAACTTTTAATGAGAAAGGGATATGTGGCATATTAAATACCTTTTACTCAAAATAAATAAAATGGTTGCCCTCGTTCTCCATTTAAACTCTTAGTATATAGTCAATGTTTATAGTAAAGTTCTAGTATATATATATATATATATATCCCCATTTTAATAAAATATCAGTCAAGATTAATACTACCAACAATAAATACTATAAAATAATCATATTGAGATCTATTTGCTAATATTCTTAAATAATTATGAGTAACCCCTTTCTTTGGAGGTAGCTGAGAAAACAAAATTTTAGAGATGGATGGGGTGCAACAAGAAAAGAGAGATGGATATGGGATCCTATGGAAGGGCTTTAAACTTTGTGAACAATGATCACCTGTACGAAAATTATTTTTGTTCACAAAATTATATCTTTGGACACACATGTAGCCCAAATTGACACCGATTAATACACCTATGCAAATAGGGATCACAGTAAAAAGTTCAAATAGACAAATTGCATATATAAAATGAAAAATGGGGTTTAATGTCTTACTGTTCTGCTACGACAGGGCTAATGAAGACGGGCATACGCCATACAGTGTGCTATGAGGGAAATTTGGCTCGGACAGCGGCGCTATGGCCTACTCTTACATCGAATTCCAACTGCCAAGGGATCTTTTATGTGCATGCCAATGTGTACACGGGACCTCCATCCTGCACCACTGACAAGGGGACACCACGTCAGAAAATAACTTGGCATATAATAAAGGGGCTGGGGGTGTGCTACTTGATCAGTAAAGTCCAGTTTGTCGAATTCCCCGTTCTTTAAAACCAGAAGAAAGGAGTTGCCCATAACCAGTTAATTTGTTACTAAAAGGCAGTGACTCAAAATATCAATAATCATTATCTAAAATAGAGAAGATTCCTTGATTTATATTTATTATTTACTCCAATAGTTCCGATATCATACGCTCGTGTCTTGGCCTGAAACAGACGGTCGTTAACTTCCTGTCTTTTGGTAAACTCTCTACTGTAAATATCTGTGTATTTATCATAATCACGAGTTCCATAATCTGTGTACTTCGATTTTTTACGAAGATTCTCCTTGCCATACATATCAAAACTAACGTGTTTCTTCGGTGAATCGATGTCTTTCTTTCCTTTCGATAAACAAGATGGAGATTGTTGTAACAGCTCTGTAACTGAAACAAATATATTTGAACATATATATTAGAATATTTTATCAGATCTTAATGTGCAAAGAATCTTTGATGGATCTTTTATGCCAACTGATGCAATTTTTTTTTGTTACATTCAAATAACTAGGCAATCTTTCAAACCAACATATATTTTCTATTTAAGAGGTCAGTAAAATCACAAATGACACTTATTCTTTGCCAAATTCAAGATACTTTGTTTTTTTAAATGGTCCGTTATATAAACGTTTTTTTCCGGGAACAACTGTGGTTAGGCTTAGAACATTTCAAAGGGAACAAATGGTATATCCTGATTTTGTGGTGGAGTAAAATGGAGAAAACACAGAGTTGCTACCACCTTGGTCAACTGTAGAACTAAACCCTTGTGCTTAGACAATAATTTGGGAACAAGTAGTTGCCATGCAAGACAATATATGTCCACATGAAAATGTGGGCGTATAAAATTAGACTTATTCACCTGTCCTGATTAGTGAAAAGTGGTTCTCTAGGCTCCTTGGGACAATGTTCAAATTGTCCCAATTGGCCACCTAACCCTCCCAAACTTAATTTATAGGTATACATGTATTTATACACCAGAAATGAACAAGAAATATTTTCAATATAATGATACATAGTTTTTTATTTTTTGTAATCCTTGAGTCTTGATACAATAAATTGATGAAAAATCATCAAAAAAATCTGGTGACTAGATTTTATACTCAATAAGTCTGAATATTGCACATTATAATGAAATAGTAAATTATTTAAAAAAAAAAAAAAAAAATTATAACTTGGATCATACTGCTATTTATTTTTATATACATCCACTCGTTTAACAATGTTTCAACTAATGGGATAATTTGTGTTTCAATAAAATAAATTTTATTGAAAAACAATAATCCTTTACATATATTTTTGAGCAGAGATTATAATAATTTTAAAAAAAAATTATATAATAATAACCCAATTCAACAATGTATAATTACGAAAGCAATATGATATGAAAAATGATCAAGCTACAGTCTTCTTTTAATTACATATATTTTACTTAATTTTAGTCAAGACAACTCAAAACTAACCCCCAAAACATGGAATTTGACTTCTTTGTAACCATTTAAAACTTTGAATTGTATATTCCTAATACCAATAACTGTATAAACAGTAAAATCACACGAAATCGAAATTTGATTTTCCTGTTTCTAAATGGCATTTACTTTTTAGGGGCATATGTCATGCAGTGCACTTTGGGAGAAACTTTGCCCAGACAGCAATGCTTCTGCCTACTCATAACCGAATTCCAACTGCATAAAGATCTTTTTCATGCATGTAAACAGGTCAAGGAATCTAACATTTTTGGACAATCCCAATGCTTAGACATTTTTTCATGACAGGAAAACAGTCCTACACCACTGACAAGGGAATCGAATCAAGGAATCACACGTCATGTAAAATAAATAAGACTTGTTACTTTGAAAATAATGCAAAAATTAAAGAGCTAATCTATTGATAAACACTTCATCCTAAATTCTCTCTGATCAACTGAAACTAATATTGGTGTCTATGTATACAGTTAATGCAATGACTTGCGAGAAATTTGCTTAACAATGCAAAATGACTGTAATGTTTTCCTCTCGACCAATAGTAAGACAAATATATCGCTGTGTGAAATTTGAAACTGTATATGTAAGACCCAATATTTGTTCTAATCGAAGCAGATACAATTTGGACTGGAGCCATCATGACAGTGATATTGAAAGCTTTAAAAATGAAATCAGCAATAACACAGCAAGCAGATAACAGTGAAAAAAAAGAAAGAAAAGAAGTTAAATTAATAAAGATAATGATAAACTTGAAATACACAGCATATAACACATCAGGTTAAACACAGCAATGTAATTTTTTAATCAGTCTTTAGAAGTAGAGCACATTGATATAATCACATTTGTTTTGAAGACCATTACTGAATTTTAATCAGAGCTACATTTATACATTAATTCTTTTTTTTATGAAGGTATCCTATCTATGCAAGTCATGGGTCGATCTCACACATGTATGTAACATGTTAACTTCATTCTACTACTGAAGTTCTCTACATGCAATCCAATTATTAAAAATTAAACAAAATGTTAAATAGTCTTTCTCTGATAATAAATGTACATGCAGCTCTGATTAAAACACAGTAATTGTCTTACATATAATTGTTGGGATAAGTTTAAACACATGTATATAGAATAGGAGAATATACCACAAGCAAATAGAATGAAGCAATATTAATACTACCACAAGTAAACAGAATGAAGCAATATTAATACTACCACAAGTAAACAGAATGAAGCAATATTAATACTACTACAGATAAACAGAATGAAGCAATATTAATATAAGTAAACAGATGGAAGCAATACTACTGCAATTAATACTACTACAAGTAAACAAAATGAAGCAATATTAATATTACTACAAGCAAACAGAATGAAGCAATATTAATATTACTACAAGCAAACAGAATGAAGCAATATTAATATAAGTAAACAGATGGAAGCAATACTACTGCAAGTAATCAGAATTAAGCAATACTACTAACAGTAAACAGATTGAAACAATACATGTACTACTGCAAGTAATCAGAATTAAGCAATACTACTGCACGTATATAGAAAAGAGCAATATACTACAAGTAAACAGCATATACCATTACAAGCATATAGAACAGCAATACTACTACAAGTATATATAGAAAGCAGCAATATACTACAAGGAAAACTACAGCAATAAATATCAGTATTCAAGAAATAAATTTTAAAACTATTTTTTTTGGGATACATTATATGTAAATGTTGTATCATCAACAACACAAGTTTTAATACAAAAGGTTAAATTGTATCTTTAATGAGAAAGACTTGGATATCTAAACTATAGATTATGTATCATAAATTACTAACAAACCGTTACCCTGACATTTTAGGTAAAAAATATATATTAATCTAGAATAATTACATATTAAAACTTGAAATATTTCATATAATTATATAAGTTTTAATTTCAAGTTATCAACTTTTAAAATTATGGTCCTACATTTCAGAGAACATCACACAAAACCAGCAAAAGCATTAATTTGTCCAAATGAGCAAATACATTATTGTTTGCTATTTTAATTAAAGAATGGATTTTGTAAAAATGAGGAAATTTGCCATGTCAAAGACAGCTTGTTCCAAATATTATATTTATATTTGAGGTTTTACTGCGGATAGATCTCAGCCCTTCTTAAATCAAGGCATTAACGAAAGCCACTGATTGTCATTTGTATTTTTCAAGCAACATTTCATTTTTCTTGGCTTATTCTATGCTAAAATATATTCAAATTTAATATTTAATAAAAAAATAAAACCAAAATATGAATAGCAAAAAGAGGCATATTAAGAGATTTTTTTCCAAAATCTTATAGGTGGTGCTGGCTTAAAGGATGCCGAATACAGCCAAATTTTTAATTCATCATATCTTTGTAAATCCTGAATGGAAGAACCATTTTTGGACTGATATTTCTTTTAGAGATTTGACTTTCACATTAGTGTAGTTTGCAAGGGATTCAAAATTCCTCAAATGACAATCAGTGCCTTTAAACAATGCACATCACAATAACGGACGCAAAACCTTGTTTGTCTAATAAGTAGAACAAAATGTATGTAATAAATTTTTGATACAATCAAGTTTAGTATATTTTTAGATATACATGTAGCACCACAAAAAATAATGAATTTATGAAACGGTCCCATAGCCATAAAATTATTTTTTCAGAACTCAATTTTTATGCAATTAAAAAAAAAAAAATATCAAAAACTTGTGGTCAATCACATATGAAAACTCTTTGTATTTTTTAAATGCCACTAATAATAACATAGCTTGAGAAAAATAACGTTATGGCCGTTGGACTTCGGACAAATTTACTACACACAGCACACAGATGAAAGGAAGACTGAGTGATTATTAAGCAGTTAAATGTTATAAAGCCTCGATAAAGCCTGTCGAGATCCTTGTGGACTAAAGTCTCTATCTAACGGATAGCCAAGCAGTTTAGGAGCAGGAGTGAAAGACATGCATTTAGCAGGATGAATTGTAGGGGAGAGTAATCTCATCTCACTCGGCCTACCTGGTGACGGAGATTTATTATATCTATTCTCATCATTAGACGGTGAGTCCTGCTTCTTACACTGTTGGTATAACTCTAAAGCTCTGAAATGATCATAAAATGTGAAAAATAAATAAAAAGTTTCTATCTTGATGAGCTCCTCTAAAGAGAAGTGTTACAGGGTGTTCTACAAGGAATAAAAATCATGCTTGTCACTAGTTTATAGATAGATAAAGCTATAACTTGGATCTGGATTTCAGAGGGTAATTTAGTCTTGACAATCGAGCCTTCTCGGCCTTTCACAACTCATTGTTATATTGTAATTCCAAAAAAGAAATAGGGGGATTTACCGAATTGTTAGAGCTATCCCATTTAGTCTACCAGTTCTGTGGGTGGATATTGCGATAGTATTTTACATGCAATTGATTTGAAAAAATACGAACTTGCTGGTGTGGGCAGCACTTCACTGATATGGGTAAGAGCAAACTGCTGCAAGTTTATAAAATAGGATTATCATACTGGGAAAATTCTTAATTTGAATCAATGGCTCCCTGTATATAAATTTCTCCCCAGTCATGGCTACCTTTACCAATATTATCAAATAAAAGGCTTTAATACATTTTATTTTACCTTCTAAGTTTATCATCAGCTAATTTTTCTCTTAATGCAACACTTCTTTCCCTACCTAAAACAAAAACATAATTAATTATAATAACATGGGGATAAACATCTTGTTGATAACATAACTAGTTCATTAAGAGACTAACATATGGCTGTTGAAATGTTTGGTTGTATGCAAATCAGGGGAGGAGAATTTAACTCGGCTTATGGTCAACTCCAATTTGACTCCACCTTCTTTCAACTATAATTTGACTCCACCTTCTTTCAACTATAATTTGGCTCTGTTTTCTTCCAACTTAACCAACTTAAATTTGACTCTACAGTTAAATTACAACTGTCACGTTGTGTTCTTTTACATGGTGGATCTTCTTTCCAAACAACTAGGAACATTATTTTTGCGCTTTTCCCTGAAGTCTAAAACAAAGTTCTCATTGTACTTACTTTCCATTTCTCTTTCCTTCAATTCTAATAATTTAAGTTTATTACGTAACTCCTCCTCTAATCGTTTATTACCATCTCCAGATTCTAGACTAAATCGTGATGGTGATTCGGAACTACCAGTCAGTCTACGATCAGAGTGTGTCTGATGTGATATAACTAGTGGTTCATTTAATATAGCATCTATTCCTGGTCGTTTAGATACCTGGTGACAAAAAATTAAATTAAATAATGTGATGATTGAGGATCGGCCAGGGCAGTGAATCAAATGGAGTTTAATGCCTTGTCAACTCAATAAATTGGTTGTTTTAAATTTTTATTTCTGTTGTTATGTGTGCAATACCAGGTAGGAGAATTTTGCCAAGATAGTGGCTTTTCTGCCTACTCTTCATCAAATTCAGATTGTCAAGGGTTCTTTAACCTGTATGCCAAAGAATAGCTAGTTACACTTTCCGTATCAGTCCCACATGCGCCACCACCCCTGACAAGCGAAGGTCAGGCTTGAAAAATCCCAAAGGTTCTAACCAACCCATCCCTAGATTAAGAGCCCAGAAAGTCAACAATATTGTGAAAGCTGATTTGGTGAAATATTTTCAAACCTATTATTATTATAAATATAAAATTTTGCAACATTCAGTATCCTCTGGCCCCGAGTTCACAAAGCATTCTCAGACTTAATTTAGAAATTAACTCAAAATTGTTCTCTTTATTTTAACTAATAGCCCTTTATAAAACTTGTTTTAATGTATCAAATACATCAATAAGAAACTATGTGCAAAGTTTTGTTGTTTTAATGTATCAAATACATCAATAAGAAACAATGTGCAAAGTTCTGTGTTTCTGGAAAAAAGATATTTCTCATAAACAGTGACTGAAAGTTGAGTAAATTCTTAACTTAAGTCTGAGTGAGAATGCTTTGTGACCTAGGGGACCCAATATAGACAAGTCAGTGGCACCTACAATAAGCTTTGGGTAAAATCATCTTTTGATCGGCCTATTTTATTCTGACTGAATCCAGAGTTAAATAATCAATTGGATTACATTTTAATGTGGATTAAGACGTAAGAAAATAAAGAGAGAGAGAGAGAAATGGGGTTTAACGTCCACTCGACACAACTAGGTCATTTCGGGACTAACATATGGTTTAATTTTATTTCAATAATTCGCTTGCGCGTAGAGGTCTTTAGCAGTGGGAGGAAACCGGAGTACCCGGAGGAAACCCACGAGGTTGAGAAGGCGCCCCTATCTCCATGCCACATACGCTCACACCAGGGCTCGAAACCACAGCCGCAAGCCAGAGGTGACCGGCCAGCCAGAGGTCGAAGCGCGGCACTCTAGACCACTTTAAAATCTTAACACTGGTCTACAAGTCTCAGCATGATTCAGCTCCATCCTATATCACAGATCTTATGCAGCCTTATGTACCAAACCGACCACTCCGTTCACAGAATAATCTATCACTTGTTGTACCTTCAACTAAATTAAAATCTTTTGGTGATAAAGCCTTCAGTGTATATGGTCCACGACTATGGAATGACTTACCTGACAAAATAAAGTGTTCAGAAACAGTTGCTCAATTTCGATCTAGACTTAAGACGCATATGTTCACGATGTATTATCCACAGAAGCCATTAACTTACAGCGCTTAGAGCATGCTCATGGATGGATTAAGCGCTATATAAATGTACATTATTATTATTATTATTATTAGGCCATCCCAACCCCCCAAGAAAATAAAACTAGTCTAAAAAGAAGTTTGTAAGTACCTCAACTTGTATCATTTTTCTGATAATCATATCGAGATCACTAGAATATTTCATTGGTATTCTAGAGAAGTCACCTAGTCGTATTTTTCTGTTTAAGTCTGTCTGATTGGCTGCCGTGAATGGTGGATGAAGGGCACATAATTCATACATCATACAACCTAACGACCATATGTCAGATTTCTCGTTGTACGACATATTGTTCACCAATTCCTAGAAATAAAAAGAAAATCATTTTCATTTTTTTATGGGTATGGTAGATTGTGTAAGGAATAGTTTAATATGCATCCTGTTTCATTGAAATATTTCCCATGTTTCTTACACTGGTGAAAATGAAATGAAATTGGTTGTAACGTCCTACTGTTCTGCTCCAAACTGGGCTAATAAGGACGGGCATACGTCATACAGTGTTCTATGTTGGACATTTTGCCCGGACAGCGGCACTACGTTCGTCCCATCCGAAAGACTAGACAACTGTCCTTGTCAGGCCCTCCGTTCTGCATCACTGACAAGGGAAAACTACCCAGGAAAACTGGATGTACTTTCTCGACTAACGCAGGGATCGAACATCTGACCTCCAGGCTAGCGAGCCAGCATCTTACCGACTTAGCCACCGTGACCCCCCCTTACACTGGTACTTCTCATGGATGTGTCAATCTTAATTCAATAAGTCGTGTTTTATTGATAATAAATTGAAAATTTGCAAAGATTCGCCATTCAATGCAAAAGATATACAGGGAATAGTCATTACATGCCAGCTCCACCTATGATTTTTGCTGATGGAATTTAAGTCTACTGTTGATATTTTGATATTATTTTCTTAAAGGACAAAATCTTTATCTAGTGACACACAACTTTTGTCTTCGAAGAAATTATTAGTGAGCAGAAATTCGCCTGTGTATCTGTTATCACTCGTCATTTTAGTCAGTTATATAGAGGGATGCCTCGTGTTTTCCTTTGGCGTTCGTCACTTCCGATTGTTGAAACCTGCATTACACATCTATCGTAGCAATGATTTCTGTGTTAAAATTGTATTTGGAACGTGTTTAATTAGTTCTATCACATATGTGATAATGATTGACACCAATATTGTCCTTTAATTAAATGTGATATAATAATCAATTTGAGTACATTTGACATTTAAGCCATGGAAAATTTGATATTTTTCCAAAAATACAAATGACAAACAGACTATTAATTTATACATCGAAACAGAAAATAACACTGATTGACTTACAGGTGACATATAATAAGGCGTGCCGACATACGTCTTGGCAAAACTGGTTTCATGATGAAGAACTCTAGCTAACCCAAAATCACCTAATTTTACATTTTGATCGGAATCGAGGAAGACATTAGCAGGTTTTAAGTCTCTATGTAGGACTGCTTTTCCATTTTTTCTTCGATGACATTCTTTTAGAGCTAAAGTGAGTTGAATAACAATCTTCCAGACAAATTCTTCATCAACATATATCCTGAATATAGATAATTTTTGCATTCTGTTAGATAGATGCATGTAATATAAGTTTAAATTAAACATACATTATTCAAGAGCTAAATCTGCCTATTGCAGGTCTTTCTTTAGGCCTGAAATGTTATATAAACTAATTAATTAGACATTTATTAACAAAAGAAGACTATAATCAACTCTTGATGGTATCGGATACTCGAGATTTTAACTAGATTAGAACAGTTCGCAATTTAAAAATTTAATTTAAAATTGGGAAAGCGAGGCTAAGTCTCGAATATACCAGTGCCCTGGTTACCACAGAGCACACATCTTGTCATTGAGCTGTTATAGCAAGAATGGTCAGCTTTTTATCTAAATCTTACATAATATATCTTTAAAAACAAATTGTGACAGATCCTACTAGTTTGATAGAAAGTTAAGATAGACCAACTTTCCTATCGAACTAGTAGGGTCTAACACAAACTTATCTAATGATTTCTGTATGAAAGCAAAATGGACTAGAAACTATGAACAACACTCCTTCGCTTGTTAGAGATTATTGGATTATGTCTTTTCCTGCTGAAATATGTGATTATAAAATTAAAATGAAAGCTGGTGCGAACAAAAATGGAATCTAGAGTGAGCAGGGCAATGCCACCCAGTTTTAATTGAGAATCTTACAAACATCATTAGGATCAACTTTAGTTTGTTTTCTTATACTTATTATATAAGAATTCACGTTCTTACTCGATCTCGATAAATATATTAAGTTTTTTTTAAAGATAAATGATAAATAATTTACCCATCTCTCCTGCATCGGGATATAAGTGTTGCTAAATCTCCACCACCACAATACTCCATAATGATATAAATAGTTGTATTAGATCGATCAATAATCCTATCATAATAACGAACTATATGACAGTGTTTCAACTCTCTTAATAAATTAACTTCTGATACTAATAATTTCTTCTCTGATTCTGTCATTGATCCGTAATCCATCTCCTTCCATACCAACACCTAAAAAAATATAATTAACAATCAACAAAAATCTGGTTACAAAATGGTATGCTAATAAATTTATTAACAAGCTCAACCACATCTATAACAACCATCATGGTTTCCAGTGCGCTTTGTCAAGTTGAAGTGATGAACAGCCGATTCTAGTTATGTGTGGATGATTTAGGTGACAAACGAACTGTCCAAAAGAAGAGAACATCCGTGGTGATTAGACCCTGTATATACTGCTAGTTAGCACCCCGCCGTAAAAATATATAAACTTTACGTTTTGTTGAATCTCATTTCTTCAAGTTCACACTAAACTTCTTCCAATATCTTTGTTTATTAATAGCTCAAGCATAGCACAAGATTATATAATAAACACAAAACCAGAAAAGCATTAACATAAAAACACAAACAAACAAGATAGTGTAAAAAGCAATGAATCCACTGCATCCAGGTGAATCAATCCTGTTCTGAAACATAATTAATATCTTTGCAAATTGTTCAATTTGGTACCATACTTTATCCAGTTCATCTCCCACTGGATGCACTTTTAATAAAAATAAAGAGGTAACTCATAACCACACTATTTACGGATAAAAATGACCTAGTAAACACTATTTATTAATTAAGACTGCACATATGAAGCAATGTTAAGAAAGAATGACAGTTATTGAACTAATCTAACTCTAAACCTGCACTGATGGTAATAACCTCTTCCTTTCTAAATTCTGAAGGATAGAGACTTTTGTGTTTGCTTGGAAATGTGATTGTCTAAGGTTATAAAACAACTTAAGATATATGTTTTCCTCCCACTCTAAAAATAAAAAGTAGAAAATAAATTATAGTTTGGTACCTTTCCATCTTTTTTTCTTCTGATTTTTTTGCATGTTCCATAAGATCCAGTTCCAATTGTTGATAAAACTTCAAAATCATCTAAACCCACGGTGGTCGGCATTCTTGGTCTGCAAAAATCAAAAGTATAATAAGTACATGTATAAAAAGTTGACATTCTGGGTAAGCTTGTTATACAAAGTATAAAAGATTACAATTGAGACTCTTATAAACTAGCCCAATAAAATCTGCAAGCATTAGAAATATAAGATGTTCCACCATGTCAGAGAAATAAAAGTCTGTGAATATGACCATGATGAGCCAAGCATGCTGATCTATGTGTAAAGTTGATGATGATTGAGTGCTGACATAATGGTAAACAGATTAGTCCTAAGTCCCAATGCTGTCAGCTAATTATAATTAGTAAATTGTATCAAAGTGATGAAGACATTATTTCTGCAACACCAAAAGTAGAAAGATATGCTGATGTCAGTATCAGTTACATTTACTCAAGGTGTGAAAGTGTATACAATTGGATTACAACCTACATTAACTATTTATAGATTATCTCATAATTAAGGTCTGAGAGAATAGCTAATTCTGGATAAATATCAAGAAGCAAAATTTTTGTTTTTCTAAAAATCAGGATAAATGTTTGGTGATTATTGTTATCATCTCAACATGGTTCCTGGCATCTTCTAAAATTTTATACATATTGTTTTGAGAAAATATTAAAACTCAAATTAAAAATTAACACTGCAAACTGTTGTTGTGATTTGGAAAATATTGATCTACAACTATAAATAAACTAAACACAAGGGCAAATAATAAAAATTGTCAATGGAATATGGATATTCTACAAAGCAAATTTAACAATAATCTAACTGTTTAATTCATATTAAGACAGAGTGTATAAGGCACACCAATAAATCTTTAATTTCAAAGAATAAAAAGATTTCAATCAAACTATAGGAGTTAGGAGATAAGAAATCTCATTATGATTATGTAATAAGTTTGATCTTCAGGATAATCATCTTAAAGGAGTTAATCAAGATCAATCAATATCCAATATCACAGATCATAAAACTGAACCCCCTTGGGTTTTACAATCCCTGATAAATATCTTACGTCTGGAAGACATATGATGCCAGGTTTGCTGATCCACCCTTTTCCATTATTTCACATTTTGATGAAGGTTCTGGACCTGCCAAGTCCGACTGAATTTTCACATTGATACCAAGTCTGTCAGTATTAGACCTACTGACACTACTTGCAATTTTGATTGCTTTTGATAAGGATATTTTTTCAATTTCTTCTTCCATGTTCTTTTCTAATGCACTTGAGTGTTTGCCAGAGGCAGGGTCACAATTAACAGACATATTTGCCAAAAATATACACCAAAGATTAATAAATAAAATATCAAAAGTCTGTCTCCATTTCAGTGTGTCCACTCTTTCTATCAACTGGACTTGTTTACTTTTTCCTGTCTAAACATGTGCGACCAATCAAAATCGACTTGAACAAAACCTGTCCAGGCTTGAATAAAATGGAAAAGTTATAATTTTGGTTATCATACCTAATCGTCGGTCGAAATCAGCAAGTATATTGAAAAGGGGTCTTTGCATTGCACGGCTACATTTAGAAATTATTTCGAAAATTAGACAATAAATATTGTATTAAAATAATCATGTGTTGACAGCTTTCGTGGTTCTTCGAAACTGCCGCTTCCATGTGTCCTGTCATTTGATTGGATCATTAAAATCTGTATCCCCATTTGTCATTGGCTGTTTGCTTGGGTAAAGGTCAAGGTCCATATGTTGCATGTGACCAGTCAAAATGGTGGCTCTCAGTGACAGGGAATCCAAAGTTAAATAATTATTACGTTTTATTCGAATTTATGGTGTAGACATGCTACCTTGTATGTCAAACCATGGAAAGACAAGGAGAAAACTTCAATGCAAACCCACATGATGTGGAAAGGGCCGAAAAAGACTCTATAAAACTTTTATACAAATGTTTTTGCAATAATTTACAGCTGGGACAGTGGGAGGTTGCCAGATCATGCATACAACAATTGAAAGAAAAAGAGGCAATAATAGGATGTGATATTAATGACATCCTTACTGAAATTGTTGAAAATCCGTACCAACAAAGGTTGTTATAGAAATTAATTTTTAATGGATATATTTACTCTATGGGCTTTATATGTTGTTGAGTCACCGAGATAATTGGAGTGACTGATAGTGATAGGCATAGTCTACAATGATATAATCTTATGATTGGATATCAGTAAAATTATCATTTTCATTTTAATGAAATTTATATAATAGTTAGTATAGAATGTGTATAAAATGACTAATTACAAAAAGATAGATTCTTTTGTTAACAAAATGTCTTTTGTGAATGTAGAACTGTTTTTACTTTATATTGTGGTTGATTAAAAGTTATTGTCTAAGACCCAACCAATAAATAGTATAAAACAAATAACAATACTAAATAGTAGGCCTTTTGATAATATTAAGCCTGGACAAAAGGCATCTGGCACAAACATTATAAGGCACTAGTTCAAGTTGTATCAGGCACAATCCTTGTATAGTGTCTGTCAGATTTGTAATTTTTCTGTGTTTTTATTGATTTTATTAAAATAAAGTTCAAAATGTCTAGTACTAGTTCAGTAATGCCTGACAGACAGGTAGGCCTACAACTAAAATCGTTTATTTCCAGGTATATAACATGTAAGCTTTATTACTTTTGAATTGTCAGATGTGGAGGTACATGTATAGCTCTGGGCAACAGTGGGAGATAATTTTCTCTTCATTCATAAATTTATATTTTTACAGATCTAATGGTCAGATAGCAAATATGACATCTAATAAATCATATACAGAATTTTGCACTTTAATAGGAACAAGGAAAACTCCAACCTGTCATATTAATCTCTCCATAAAGGAAATTCGTTAATAACAATTTATCACTGCAGGCAATTTTTTGACAGGTTAATTACCCCTTGGCGATAAATTTTAAGAGCTGTTTATGCACAGTGTAATAAGTTTACATCTGCTGTCAAGTTATTATCTTTGTGTATTTTTGATAAACTAAATTATATACCCATTACATGTATTAATAAGGAATACTGTCCCAACAAAATGAAATAATATACATTATTCCTTAAGTGTAGATTTAGATAACAATAGTATGAAAATGTCAAAGAATTTTGTCAATTTGGGTAGAAGAAATTATTCAGATAAAAATTGTTTTTAAAGAAAGAATGTTAGTTAAAAACAGAGTTAGTGATAAATCATTTTGTATGCTTACCTTCTTGTTATTTTCCATAATATTTGATTTAAACAGTATTTATGTCGAAGATATTGTAAAATTTATATAAAGGCATTATGAATAAGATAAAACAAAGAAACCAATGACACAGCACTTATATTAATTTGCTTCCTTGAGTGTACAATATAAATACAGTTTAAAGTAATATATGATATAGACAAATAAGATTTAACGTATTTATATATAATTTTTTGGAGACATACCAATTTAGTTCAAAATTCAATTACATAAATAATTACAAGACTAAAGTCTATGGATGCTTTAGTGATGATGTGATTATCTAAGGATATTTATAAATAATTATTGATTAACTAAAATTAAAATACATTTACAAAACCTACTTGTCTTAAAAATCTTGGTTGCTTCAGAAATTCAATCGTTCAAGAAAATAACATTTATACATAATCTATAAAACCTACTTACCTTAAATGTTATTTTTTAAATATTCCAGTCTTGGGTCCAGTACACTAAACTCACCAAGTCAGTTGTCCTGGTTGTGCCTGTTGGAGTGTCAAACTTTATCTGATAAATCCAGTGAGGAGGAGGTACATGTAGCCTATTATATCACCTACTTAAACACTGCCTAAACCCTAACACTCAAACAAAACAACCCAATAGATCTCTTTCACAATAGAACCTTATTTTTACAATACAAATCTTATCTCTGGTGTAATTACCCCAGATTTCTCAGGTTGCTGGTTGATTAAACATGTTAATATGTGTTATAGATATCACTACTGTGTTGTTTTAACACATGGATTGTAATAGATTGATTGAATAAGAATTAAAATGATATATTTTATTATTACTGTGATAAAAGAAATAAACAGTGTAGGCATATTTGATTGTTTTCAGTTTATTAAATTATTTAAATTATTATTCTCATTGGCAAAACAAAAGTAAGCAATATTTCATAGCTTTTCTAAACTCTTGTGAGATACCTGTATTCAGTGGTCTAGAAAGAATATGCATATTCTGCCTAGAGTACAACATCCACAAGTCAATAAGTCGGATTTGGATTTCATAAGCTTGGTCCAAATTTCATAGGCCACCAGCCCAGCAGTAGTGTTACCTGTCCAATTCATATTTTACTTAGTAGTATGTTAAACCCCATTTCATTTCATTTCATATTTGACTTTCTCTGTGGTTCTTGTAATTATTTATAAATTGAATTTTGAATTTAATTGGTATATCTCCAACAAACTAAATACATCAAATCCTATTTGTCTATTTCATGTCAGTTATTTATGCGTCGTAATTTTGTTTTATTTTCCCAGATATTCTGGTTAACCAAACTGACAAAAGATGCAGACTTCAGATTACTTTTGGCAGAAATACCTCCAGACACAGATTCCAATATTATCAAGGTTAGAATTCTATTTGTTCTCAGGTGTTATTTAATTAACTTAATTTTCTTTAAATCCAGCTCAACAGAAATAAATTTAAACATTAAGTTCTATGAAAGATTTTAATAACCATTCATTTTTACTTCTCAATAAAGATTATTGATTCCAGGAATAAGATATGAGACAGGTGAATTATCAACAATTCTAGTCTACAGTTGCACTGTTTTTGTGTTTGCGTGGTATAAAACCAAATCCCATTCCTCACTTTCTGATTGTATGCATTTGGAGTCTATGGAGGCCAATGTGTATTGAACCATAACTTTACCCCCACCCCCTTTCACTTTGGGTCTCATTTGTAACACTATTTGTGATAACAGAAGATCAGTTTCTTAAATAAAGGGAACAGGAACACAAATACACAGGAACATAAAGAAAACAGCAACTTAAAGTCATCAGGAACATAAACAATAACATCCACACGGCTCATCACTATATTATTAAGTCAACAATTCCGCCATTCTTCCAAGGCAGCGACTGGACTCGAGTGAGTCCATGTGCTCCAAGTCTCTCATCTCTGCTTGTCTAACCAAGTCTTTTTCTAACCACATCTCTTTCCAACCAAGCCTCTCTCTAACCAAGTCTCTTTTATACAGAAAAAAAGGACCTTATATACCTTCGTATATCTGACTATGCAAATTCTATAAACAGCATTGTCACTACATGTGGAATTTATTAAGTCTGTACAGATCAATAACATGTGGGGTTCAATGGGTTCAAGTTTGGTGCATCTAAATAAATGTTTTATATGTATTAATAAAATATAGTCTTAATATGATACAAGTTATGGAGCACTTTATCACACATTTCTTTTCTGTTGTAATTGTTCAAAATAACACTGCCAGTTCTGGGGTATTTACTTTAAAAAATGTTTCAACTGGATGCTGTGGCACCCAAAATTTTGTGTCCTCCACCAATTTTAACTAGAGTGTGTGTGTGTGTGTGTGTGTTGGGGTCGGATGGCTGAATGGTTAGAGCATGCACGCTGTATCATAAGGTCTGTCATTGAGTCAACTGGTTTGGTTGGATTCCCCGGTTTTACGTGACAAGGAGTAGGGTCGTCTGTCCAACCATGTGGGTTTTCTCCGAGTCCTCCAGTTTCCTCTCACTGCTAAAAACCCCTACGCGCAAGCAAATTATTGAAATAAAACTGAACCATGTATTAGTCCCGAAATGACCTAGTTTGTGTCCAGTGAGCTAAACCCTCTCTCTCTCTCTCTCTCTCCATTGACTAGTGGATATGTTATATGATTATTTTTTGGTTGTATATTACAGGAATTGTATGGATATTTACAGACAATATCAACGAATCAACGACCAATATCACTTGATTTACCTTCAAAAGTTACTCATACACTATCTAAAAATACCCTTAATTTCTTAAAACAACTATTATTATCAAAAACCGATCTGGGTCATTTGATCATTAATCATCTTATGATACGCGATGCTCAAGAAAAACCCTCTTCAAATACAGATTTTTCACATTCAGACAGCCTAGGCGGTGGCGATAGTATTAGTCGCAACAATGAAACACTACAAGGTCTCTATGTGCAGTGCATTAATACTGTTTTAGACCATATTGAAAAAACGACTATCAAACAACAGGAGAAATTAGAACAGTTTTCAAAACTTTTAGGTTATTACGATCCACAGCCATATTGGAATTATTTACAGTTAAGACAGTTATTTACTCGATTGTTAGAAACCAGCGGACAAGATAACAGTCCGTTATCTAAAGATACGATCGTATCTCTATTAATAGGTCGAAAAAATAATTATTTAATTGACGAGTTTTGTAAATTAGAATATGAATTACTTTCAACTAAGGCCTGTGAGACGAATAATGGAGAGACTGCCGGAATATCAGAAGAGGAAAAATGTATTATATATGTATGTTGTGAACAGGATAGAGAGAATAGATGGCGGAATATGTTTTTGTTGTCCACCAAGAAGCAGAAACATTTTCTAGAAATGATTTTAGTAGGTGTTTTATATAAAGTTGGACTTAATGCCCACTCACGATGCATGAACCATATGTTAGTCCCAAAATGACCTAGTTTGTGTCGAGTGGATATTAAACCCTATTTCTCTGTCTCTGGCCATTTTGGGCCTAGCTGATGGATGTTGTGAATGCAGCAGGATATGCTTACTCTTTCAGGAGCACCTTATGCCACTTGTCTTATCTGTTTTGGATACGTTTGCAGGATGGTACGAAAAACCAAGGTCCTGTGTACATGTTGGCGTGCACGTAAAAGAATCTTGACAATTGGAATTTAAATTAAAACTTGGCTGTAGCGTCACTGTCAGGGCAAAATTTCCCTAATAGCACACTGTATAGCGTATATTGTCAGTCTTCATTAACCCAGTCAGAGCAGAAAAGTAGGACATTAAATCCCATTTCAATTCATTTTATTTTTTGGATTTTTAGAAATTTAATATTATCTTTTTCAGGATACAGCACTGAATCTTGTAAAAGCAGAGAAATTCTCTTTATTAGAGAAATTATTGAGTCAAGAAGAATTAAAACCTTTAAAACCGATGGTGTTGTTAATAGGATGGTCATATTGTTCTTCTTGTAATATAGCTAGACAATTACTCTCTATCTTGTGGAATGAACAGGTAAATGAACATGACATGGATTAGGAATAACTCTTGGGATATTTTCAAGTTCCATCTCGCCTATCATCTCTAGACCTGACAGGGAATAGGGAATGTGTGCTTAGTCATCTGTTTTGAAGTAAATTACAAATTTCAAAGCTCCACTCCCATTTATCAGAAATAACATAACTAGAATGCATAATTTGTCATTTGGTTTGAAATAAAATACAAGTCCTTGAGATTTTCTAGCTCCATTCCAAATTATTTCAAACCACATCTAGAACTGACATGGAACGTGTGTTTAGTCGTTTGAGTTGAAATAAAATTGTTCATGTTAATCTAAAAATGCATATTAATGTTACTGTGATGGGTCAATTCTTTGTAATTCTCATTTCATGACATGTAGATTGACTGACAGGTCAGTTCTCCTGCTGAAACGAGACCCCTGATTTACGTCGTTGTACACTGGAATAGCTATTAAACAATTTTAATAATTACTCAATTTATTCACTTAGGTAAATTATTAATGTTATTTCCAATAAAAGATTTAGAGGAGATAATTTCAAGGATCTAATGACTCATTTGAATACAAACACCTGGTTATCTGGAATCACCTTATTTTTTTTAAAGTCCACGATAAATTTGATATTTCTAGGATGACTGTAATCATACAGCATTAACAGCCAGTTGTAAAAGATTATCTTATCAAATAGATTTAATACAATGGTGTTTAGAAAAAGCCAAGTAAGTATATTATAATTTCATTTTTTCAGGTTTTTTTTAGATTTTTATTATTATTATTACAAGACATTTTTGTAGGGCTGTCTGTCCTTAGTGTGATTTATAGACCAATAAATGTTTTTCCGACACGGTTTCCCCTTGTCAGTGGTGCAGGATCGAGGGCTGATAGGACAGCTGTTTAGTCGTTCGGATGGTACGAAAAACCGAGGTCCCGTGTACATATTGGCGTGCACGTAAAAGATCCCTTGGCAGTTGGAATTTGATATAAGAGTAGGCCGTAGCGCCTCTGCCCAGGCAAAATTTCCCTCATAGCACACTGTATGGCGTATGCCCGTCTTCATTAGCCCAGTTTAGGAGCAGAACAGTAGGACGTTAAATCCCATTTAATTTCATTTCATTTCATTTCTGAAGGATAAAATTGTTTTTAAAGGTTTTATAAGATGAAGGATAAACATATAAAAAACAGCATGGTAAAAAGTAAATGAATTTTAATGGAAAACTTGTAAAAAAAAAAGCTATTTATTAGCTATTACATAAATTTAAAAACTGTTATAATGTAATATGATATTTCAGACCATTAATTGAGTCCAGTAGTAATACATCGATGGCTTCACATGAACGAGCTACCAACATGCTTCAGAATCTGTCCACACATTCAGTGTTATTTGTTTTACATCAATCTACGAGAATATCAGCTCTTAATCCTGACGAAGTTTTACGATTATTACAGAATACAAGTCATACTGAGAGTAAGTCTTAGTTTTATTATCCTGGGCAGAACGGAGTTAAACATACATTATGCAAGAGCTAAATCTGTCTATTGCAGGTCTTACTTTAGGCCTGAAATGTTATCTAAATTATTAATTAGACATTAATTAACCTATCCAGACCATAATCAACTCTAGATGGCATCGCTAGCCTGCGATCTTTAGTGGATTATGAGCCGATTTACTGGATAACTTTCCTTCACGATTTAACGATTAAATGGATAATCGAGACTATGCTGTTTATCATACTGACTTTAGTAATGATGATCAAGGCTAGGCGAAAATTTCAATCGCTTAGTTCTCGGTTCATAGTCAATCAATTTGAATGAAATTTTCAGCAAATTGCCTTTACATTATCTAGTTTTTAACTATTATAGTGAGAACTGCCAACTCGTTATCGAATCTCCCATAATGTATCTTTAAGGGGTGAATATTGAACTGGACCCCATCTGTCCGTCCTTCATTATCTCCCAGTTTTATTTCTGAAGAATTTCTTTCGGGACTAACATATAGTTCAATTGTATTTCAATAATTCGTTTGTGCGTAGAGGTCTTTAGCAGTGGGAGGAAACCGGAGAACCCGAAGAAAACCCGCAAGGTTGAACACACGATCCTACTTCTTGTCACTCACATCCGGGGATTCAAAACCACGGCAGTTGCCTCAATGACAGACCTTATGATACAACGCGCATGCGCTAACCATTCGGTCATCCAATCCCCGGATATCTCATAAACTGTACAAGATATCTTTATAAAACTTTGTAGAACCGTCAACTGATTATATACTGAAGTCCAAAAGAAAGTATACACACTAAAAATATGACTAAGTTTTGTTAAATCAAAAAAATGTGATAAAACTACACTGAACACGTCTCGTGCGTCCAAACACAATATTTCTAAGCAAATAAACGGCAAAACAAATGGACATTGTACCCAAATACCGCATACAATGGAAAAACGACTTTGTTTGAAACAGGACGAAATGAACAGTGTATACTTTCTTTTGGACTTCAGTATACATGTAGTAGTTGTGCCCTTTTGCTGATTTGAAATTTCTCGGCAATACTCAGTGCCGAGGCCTTCTGTACCCTTCAGATACAGAATTATTGTTTATAAAGAGATATTAATTTGAGGGGTTCTCCTCAGGCGATGTGAATAATTTTCAGCCCTTAATAGACATATTGTTTAAAGATACATTATGGGAGATTAGATTAAGAGTTGACTGTTCTCTCTATAATAATTAAAATTAGATAACACATATAGAATATGTTGAAAATTTCAGTCAAATTGCTCCACTCTGAACCGAGATATTAGCTTTTGAATTTTAAACCTAGCCTTGATCATCATTACTAAAGTCGGTACGATAAAAAACATAGTCTCGATTATCCATTTTTGGATTTAATCATCAATAAGTGTAGAGCAGTAGATCGGATTCAAATCCAGTGAAAATCCGACACATAAGATGACATCAAGAGTTGATTATGATCTGGATAAGTTAATTAATTATTAATTTAATATCTAATTAATAATTTAGATAACATTTCAGGCCTTAAGAAAGACCTGCAATAGACAGATTTAGCTCTTGCTTAATGCATGTTTAAAAGATATTTTAGTAATTGGTCTCATTAAAAAGAAAACAAAACTTAAAGATACATTATGGGAGATAAGATAAAGAGATGGCAGTTCTCGCTATAATAGTTAAAAACTAGATAGTGTAAAGGTAATTTGCTGAAAATTTCAGTCAAATTGATCCACTATGAGCCGAGAAAGAAGCCGGTCAAATTTTTGCATAGTCTCGGTTATCATTACTAAAATCATTAATATAAACAGCATAGTCTCGATTATCCACTTTTTCTGATTTAATTATCTTTGGCCGTTAGTGGCATATAGGAATCTAATCCAGCCTACATCGAAGGCTAGCCTTGACATCGAGAGTTTATTATGGTCTGGATAAGTTAATTAATGTCTAATTGATAATTTAGATAATATTTCAGGCCTAAAGAAAGACTTGTAATAAGCAGATTTTGCTCTTGCATAATGCATGTTTAAAGGGATACAATTGCTGAATTTAATAGAAGCAACAATTCTTTTATTGCTGTCAATCACAGTATTGATACAGTTCAGAAAATGAACTTGTGCATAAACGATAATGATTCTCTTATTGCTGTCAAGCACAGTATTGATGCAGTTCAGAAAATGAACTTGTGCCAAATCAAAACGCCTCAGTGTTATGTTACTATGTATATTTTCTCTGATGTCAAATTTAATTCATTTCAGATCCAGATAATCGTAAGAAAACTGTCCGATTTCAAGACGAAAAAACTAAGACGTCCAGCCATCTTGATAATGAGCCAATCAGCATCGAACAACAATGTGATATTTCCATATTTAGAAGTTTTTGTGCTATAAAAAACACCATGGATATTTTAGCTTTTTGTTCGGAATATTTTGAACATGAACTTATGAACCCTGTTTGTATTAAAAATTCTTTACGACCGAAGCATTTAACGAGAGCCTTTAGTATGGAAGAAGGGGTTAGTAGCAGCAGTGATGGTGAGGATTGGTTATCGAGTTCACAAACTGACCAATCATTGATGTCCGATAATACGAACAATTTTGAAAAGTTGTACGAAATGAACGTGACGAAGAAACTAATTGCAACTAAAATTCATCTCAAACAACTTCATCCACTTCAGTTACGTGTAGAAACTTTAGAAAATATTTTATCGTTATTATTTGTAACACACGAAGATTTTAATAGTGATTATGTCCAAGACCCTGATAGCGGCGACGAAGAAGGAGAAGTGGGGAGTAAACGGAACAGCGGCGAAAATATGTCATTGAATTCTGAGGAAGAAACGCCACAAATCGGGAAAAAAACGAATTTCTCACGTTCTACCCAGAAAGCAAACCCTGATCCTGCATCATCTAGTCAAAGTTTTCCAGTTAGCGCCGGGTATGATGAACCATTTGAGGACAGAGTGCAGACATCACAATCTTTGCATCAGTCTGTCTCTATCCCGCAAAACCAATTAGTAGACATCAAAACCACACCCACTAAAAAACTTTCTTCAACTTTGACTTCATTACGTAGAATGAGTTCGTTGAATAAATCAAGTGAATTGAGCTCAAGTCTGACCTCAGGTAACATGAAAATAGGGTTTTTAGCAAATGAATACATTATCCGAGATATATTGGCCATGCTCAAAGACAGTCTCCTGGATTTGAATACTGTGAGATTTAAGTTAAGTGGTAAAGATGGCGATATCAAGGATGGAAAAGCAAATGATTTAACGATGGATCCTGCGCTAGAAAAATTACTCGTACAGCATGTAAAATCGAGTATTACATCAGAAACTCTTCAGCAGCGAATTACACGTTTGACTCAATTGATCCACGAAGCTCAATGGCGTTTTCAGTTAGTTTGTCATGAGCAAGTTCCTCGACAACCGGGAATATTATTACAGAAGCCTGTCATTTGTACAGACAACGAGACGAGTATTCTTTTGTCAAATTCAAGTTTGAGAAGAAGTCGTTCAAAAAGCCCACGAAAGGAAGTAATTGGTACAAGTAAGTATTCTTAATTTTTAACTGAAAAACATTTAGTTCAAACATTTTTATTCCTTATGAGTATAGAACAAAAGATTTTCATGGAATACTAATCTTCTGTTTATTTTTTAAAACCATTTCCACTTAAATTTAGGTCCTCATCTGGAATATAAATCTTGTGTCACATGTAAATTTTAATAATTGGGAGGGAGGGAGGGAGGGAGGGAGAGATTAACGTCCACTCGACACAAAGCAGGTCATTTTGGGACTAACATATGGTTCAATTTATTTCAATAATTCGCATGTGCGTAGTGGTCTTTTGCTGTGGGAGGAAACCGGAGGAACCGGAGAAAGCACATACGGTTGGACAGGCGACCTACTCCTTGTCACATACTTTTGACGGTCAGGGGATCTTTAACACCTGCTGTCATCCCATCTGGCACTACATCCTGCTCCGTGGGATACCAGGTATGAAAATCCAGAGGAAACCTTCTTTTCCAACATGGGATATACATGTAACTGAAAAACATCCTGGTTAAATTGTTAGCACCATCGTCACTGAGAGACTATGGCACCATTACATGTCAAACTGTTTTATTTGTATATTTCAGTTTCATCAGACGATGATAATGTGTTTGGTACAGGCAGTGTTAAAAAAACTGGTAGAAATAACGTAGATTCACGACGAGCACAACCAACCTCTCTTTCATCTGTAGCGTCACGTACACCTGGTATAATACCACTGATGTTATCATCACCTGATTCACTCTTATCCATGTGTCTTAGTAAAGGAAATTTTGGTCAAGCCACTCAAGTTATCAAGGTAAGAAAGCTTTAATTTCTCATAGTATCTAACACCAGGATCAAACACCGCACCTGGTTAGTGAGCTTATCTTAATGTTGAATGTCAAATTTTTTTGTTTTCATTGAGAAATAAATGTGCTTTTTTCATCAAATCAATTAAAGTGTGTTCAGTCTGTCTGAAGGGACAAAAAATAAGAAATCGAAGTCCACAAGTCTACATATTGCTGTGCACATTAAAAAAAACCAAACTTAGCAGTTGAAATTTTCTTAAAATAAAAGGGAAAATTCTCCCGCTCCCATAGCAGATGTAACTATGGAAATAAAATAAAAAAAGACCGTAAAACTGACGATACTTTAAACCCAATTCAGTTCTATTCACATGATAAATTAAAGTTAACAAAGTCCTGTTTCATGAATCATTGTAACTTGTAAGGTACATATATTTACAGATGGGTGTAGGTTCCGTATTGTAATGTTGGGATTAGTTAATGGGGTGTCATCCCGATGTTGATGGATTACTTTAATATTTCTTTAAGCTAACTCAATAACGACTCCATCATAGTTTCACATCTCACCAAAGGGTCACAGGTCATTTATTTGATAAAGGGAAATAACTGATAAAAGAGAAGAAGTTCAATATTGTTGGAGAGAAATACATGTAATAACAACTATATGACAGAAGTGTATTTGTCTAATGAAATGTTTGATTTAAATGCATGTACATATAAGTCTTATATTTGTTTTCTGCAATGGAGGACGCAGTACAATTAATTAATATCAGGTCTAAATCGTCGCTTGTGTTCTTCTCTCTTCTTCTCTCTTTTTGTGGATAGTTACTTAACCCTTTTTCACCAGAATCAGCTGTTCATGACCGAAACTTGATGAAGCTCCCTGGAAACTAATTTTTTTTTTTCAAGATTTCAAGTTGAACTTGTTATTAATGGAAAGTACCAACATAGTACACAAAGTTCTTAGCATTGGTGCAGGAATGGATTTCTTTATTGAAAGTACTAACTTATTGTGTCATTATTGATATTGATTTATAATTTACTCTTCTTTTTATTTTCTAGCTTTTTAAATTAGAAAAAAAGGATGATACAGCAGAAGTATCTTTCTCAGATTCTTTCAAGAAAGCAGCCGGCAGTTTAAGTTCATTAGTGGAGAATCCAGGCAAGGCAGCTCCATCTTCCTCTCGTCCAGGCAAATTGAGTATCAAAGCTTTGGGAAGTGTTGCTGCGGCTGGAATGGCATCTGCTACTTTAACCAATATCACAGATGATCTTTTGTCTGTACATAATATTCCACAATTACCAAAACCAAATTTACCCAAATCAAACAAAATGTTAATATTCTTTACGGAGGTTCACGTGACGATCGCCATTTTAGTAGATTTGCTTCTTACTTCCTGTAAAACGTGGGAACTGTGCAATAAAATGTTGGACGTCATCAAATCTAAAATGAACGTGAAGAACATATCCGATCTAAACAATGACCATCAAAATACGGAAACTGTGGTGATAGGATGTCAGACATATTTATCCGAACTTCAAAAACTTTTGGAACTATCCGTGGATCAGGATACACACATGGCCTATACTGAATCTGAGAATGCCAAACGATTGACAGTGCCAAGACTAAGTTTTGTGAATATGTTACTCAGTGCTTCTACTCCCGTCACGGCAGAAAGACTTAAAAACTTTATCGGTGTTAAAGAGGAGATTAAACATTTACTCAATCGGGTCGTCGGCGTTATATCTGAGATGAAACAATCTGGTTCGGAGGATGTTAGTTTTGATGATAGTTTACCATCCCCATCCTCTCCTGCCCCATCCCCAAGTCCGTCACCCTCTCCCCATCTCTCCCCTCTTGGCAGCGTATCATCAAGATCGAGTTTTAGAATTGAACCACCTGTTATGCATACTGTAATGAAACAGTTAATAGCTAGTATGGAGAAATATGTACCTACAGGTGGAATGGTACGCATGTTAAAAAGGTACTTTCTTTTTTCGATATTTTTCTAGATTTTCTTGTGTCATTTGTTATGTCTGTGTCTTGTCATTCAGCGCTTTAAAAATGAATGCTTTGCTCTTTTAACAGAATGCCAGACTAATACCCCTGTCAGACAGAGGTGGCATCATTACTGCGCTGTTACTGTTACGGAAAATGGTCTGAGAGCGCATCAAGACCGCCATAAGCGTGGCGGAAATGCCAGATATCATGCTGTGGTCTCCATGGTCGCAAATGATGGCCGAGTCACAGTGTTTGTTTTGAGCATGTTCAAAACAATCGGCAAGGTTCTGCAATCTGACCTGGAAAGCTTTTTTCAAGTTTGTAATTTTTTGGGACATTTTTTTGTGTTGTCTTAATGTTTGCCGGCAACCTTGTGCATTTTCTGGTTGCCGTACGGTCGCAGCAGCGCATTAAGGACACCACAGGAGCATAAGATGAGAGAATCCAATACTGAACTCATTAAACTCAGTGTGATACTTGCACATGATATAGACTATCCCTGGAGTCCATGGAAACTAGCAATCGTTCAGAGGTTACTACATGAGCTATCCTAGGGCTCTGATGAGGTCATATTATCAGATCCCAATTTACTGGTATTGAAATTGTTGTTATATTTTAAATCAATAAGTGCTATTGTAACAACCAATAGAAATTATTGTTATATTTCAGATCAAGAAGTGGTATTGTTACACCCAATAGAAATTATTTATTAAGTTTATACGACCATGTTAAGGAACTGGCTTTTCTTGTTGCACAAAGTGAAACTAAAGCACAAGGTAAAGTATGTCTTGTTTGAGAAAATAACCGACAATAAATCGTTTGATGTCCAGCAAATTCATTTACGGTACTAAGATGTTTAATCTTTATTTTATGATTTGGGATAATGTTAAAAATTGTGATACAAAATGTAAAAAATTGAGTGGCTGGCAAAATTGCTTTGTTCGATTTGTTATGGTTCGATTTTTTCATCCATATTATTATAAACACCAATATGATTATATGAAATTGTTATTTCAGAATCAATAGTATTACCCAAGAACTATTTCCGAATGTTACAGGAAGGGCCAATACTAATATTAGGTCGACTCATGTTCAATAAAAAACTACAACCTGCCAAGTAAGTTTATAGCAATATATCATTTTATCTATGTTGACTCATTTTGTCTTAAATATTGGATTTAAGAAACACAACTTTTCACCGTACAGTAACAGCATCAATGATGATTTAAATTGACCAAGAAGTCGTGTTTGCAATGTCAAAGACTCTGGATGATATTGAGTTAAAGATTTAGCTCCTTTAAGATTGTATGTTCCTTAAAATGGATTGTAACTTTAAAAAATGCCAATAATAAGGCTTGTTCTTTAGACTAGTTAGTTAACACTATCATACAGTTTTTTGTGGCAATTAAGTTTAGTTGATTGGTATAGTTTTTATTTATTTTTTTTTTTCAGATTGGAGAAGGTGGCAGCAAAATTGAGCTTAAATTTAACTCACATTATTGTACATAGTTGTTGTCCGAGAATTCCTAGTAAACAGGTGCTACCTATATTAGCAGATAAAAAACACCCAGGTATGTCTATACTGTATAAACAGTAAACAAAAAATAACAAATATTAGTCTCCAAATGACCAAAGTATTGTGTTGATGTTAAGCTGTGAAAAGGAACATGAAAACCTGGATAAAAGCCACAATCCTATGTTTTGCCCAGTATATTCTATATTTGATGTATATCAACAGGTTATAAACAGCATATTTTGTATTTGATGTATATCAACAGTATATTTTGTATTTGATGTATATCAACAGAGTATAAACACTATAATCTGATTTGATGTATATCAACAGGGTATAAACAGTATATTTGATGTATATGAACAGGGTATTAACAGTATAATTTGTATTTGATGTATATCAACAGGGTATAAGCAGTATATTTTGTATTTTATGTATATTAGCAGGGTATAAAAAGTATATTTTATGTATATTAACCAGGGCTAGAAATTTGTCATTTTTTGCGAGAATCTAAGAGGATTCTCATATATGGAATCTGCGCGAATCCTCCGACTCTTAATTAATAATACTGTCTAAAAAATAAAATTGTGTTTATTGTGATAATCTAAAACACCAAAATACAACAACAATGATAAAAAAAACCCAAGCAGATGGAGTTTTTGGTAAACACTTAAATTGTGTCAAAAGAATACGTATCCACAAAATGCTGTAGTCAAATAAGCTGACACAGCACCATTGCATTTCTTCATAGCACAATTTGTAATCTTTTGTCCATCACGTAACTAGTCACGTAACTTGCAAAAGTTTTTATTCATTCCTCGATGATAGACAAACCGCACAATGATCACGTGACAACTATAACTGAAATTGCTATAAAATAAACTTCTATACAACTATGATTAGCCTTCAATAATATTTTTAAAATTAAGTCTCTGTCAGCATTTATATAAAATAAAAAATCATAACGGTAAACGCTATTTAGAACTGGTTTATTGACCTAATTCCAACTGGTATGTCACTTGTCATTGGAATTCTACATTCGAGATTCTGTTGGGGAAATATCCACTGTTTCTCTCTCCGTTCTATCAGGGGATTATATTCAATGATGATTTAAATTTACCTAACTGGTCGGTGGATTCATCAATGTATGGTCCAGTTATTATTTTAATATCTACCGGTACCTGGAAGATGCACAATTCGTAAACCATGCCGAGATCGTCTTCATTCACCACGTGGTGTATTTTACTGAACCTAGTATGAATTATTAGCTAGCTTGTTTTGTTATTTTACCGGATTATCAAAATCACCGTTAAATGTGCTAATTACTCTGATAATGATCCACATATGGCCGATTCGCACTAAGGTATGACTGTTGTTGTAGCCGACACTTCTTTATTAACAAGTAATAATTAACGTGTTGTGTCAAAAGTAGATTGATTTATGGTACCAATCGGCTATATTAATCATCAATCGGCTAAGTCCCACAAAATACAGCCGACTAAGAAAACTGACCCTGATTGACATTCAACAGTTGGACTCGACAATTCTCCGACATTTTTTTTTTTTAAGAAAAATTTTACGCGAATCCTTATAGATTCCCAGATTTGGAGATTCGCGTGAATTTCTAGCCCTGTTAACAGGGTATAAACAGTATATTTTGTATTTGATGTATGTCTACGGGGGTATAAACAGTATATTTTGTATATGATGTATATTTACAGGGTATAAAGAGGATAGGACAAAGATTATATATAATGATGGTGAACCTACTAAAATGTTGTCTGGTCTAAATGCTGAAAAACTTATACAAGAAATACTGTCAAATATTATATTCAAAATGAAAGGTTGGTTAAAGGGACATTAGCACTTTCAATAATTAAAATATCATATAATTAATTTATATGATATATCATATCAAAAATAACTAGAATTATAGCAAATGCAAGCATCTGTGAACTCTTTTAAAGCCATGACAAGATGTAATGTGTTTATTTTTACTTGTAAGGAATCTTAAGCTGGCAGTCTAAGTATGCCGGAAGGCCTGGCAAGGAAGAGCGTCAAGTCATTCAGATGGGATGAAAACGTTTTCAGACGGGGTTTCCCCTTGTCAGTGGTGCAGGACGGAGGGCCTGACAAGGACAGCTGTCTAGTCGTTTGGGTGACACGAAAAACCAAGATCCCGTGTATACATTGGCATGCACATAAAAGATACCTTGGCAGATGGAATTCGATATGAGAGTAGGCTATAGTGTCACTGCCCGGGCGAAATTTCCCACATAGCACACTGTATGGCATATGCCTGTCTTCATAGCCCAGTCAGAGCAGAACAGTAGGACGTTAAACCCCATTTCATTTCATTTCATGTCATTTGGGATGAAAAACTGAAGTCATATGTATACAGCATTGAGCATCGTGCATTGTATAGATTCATTGGCCGTGTTTAAGTTTTAACATTTTCTTTCAAATGAAAATAAACACACTTATATGGATATACTACTTAAGAATTTTATTAACATGCTACGTTTCAATACACATACAGGTATCTTTATCAGTTTATTTTTAGTGAAATCTATTTCTATATGTTTTATAAGGATTCTTTCAAATGCATTATCACGAATTATTGACATTATATCTCTTATCAGAAACTGCCAAAAAATGCAATGCCAAAGAAATTTTTGATGTTACGTGTGCCAAATTATTTGTACAAGAACCTGGATATGAAGAATTGTTTTCGACGACCCAAGAGTTGCAATTGGTGGATTTAAACGAACTAAAATCATCAGATGAAAAGACAAGTTTCTTTATAAACCTTCACAATCTCATGACGATTCACGTTCATCTTGATTACATAGAATATCGTTTACACAAACAGGTAATTATAAATCTAAACATTGATATGGTGATATGTTTATCAACAATTTAAGTTATTTCAAGTTTACGTAGTGGGCCTGTTGGATTATTTCAATTTAGGTTATTTAAATTATTGTTTTTTACATTTGTCTTATTATATTTTATATTTTATCAATGCTTGATAATGACTAGAGAAACCTAGTCGAAATGTAATAAGCAGTAATTGTATTTCATAGAATTGTGACCTGTATATCCCAGTTCAATTACTAAATGCCATTGAAACAATTTATCAGACAAGTTTACATAGTATACCTTTTGGATTTTAAATGTTTTCCTAGTTGGTTCCCTGTGATGCTTTTATTAAGATAAATTTGCAGGAACCTCGGGTTTTACATGAAATGTTTTAAGAATTCTAGCCAGGAGTTAAAATTTGTACTAGCTACAATTTGTGATTGGTGTCATGCTCAAGGCAAGGTATACTTTTTCTAGAACACCTGATACAGTTGTCATTTGCTTGATCTGTGTTGATTTATATTGATCTTGATAATCCTAATTTGGTACTTTGTTAATGAAGTTTGGTGTTTTGTTGGCCATTTTGGATTGTCTGTCTGTCCATTGTTGTATGTATCTTGGTATGTTTATTACGAATCTGTTATATATTTAGAAAATGTTAGAGAATGAAGAAAGTCGACCAGTTTCATACAGTGATGAGGAAGTATTTACGATGTCTAGTTTAGATCATCTTGTACACAGACAACAATTCGCTTATAAAGTGGGACAACTGGGTGTTGTTAGGTAAGTCAGAGCTTATTTGATTGCTTTGTATCCAGGAAGTAAATTCCCATTCTTCACTCCGAGAACAATTTACTTCCAGAATAGATCCCTTCCCTTCTAATCCGTTGCACACATGTCACACACAAAACGATTAAATAAACACTTTCAATTTTTTTAAATGGAAGTGGTATAAATACTTCTCAAAATTCTCAAAGTATATGTTAAGTCTTCGACTAAAATCATCGATTTAAGACATAAAATGTCAGTCAACTAGCTTAGTGTCTGTTCTCAAGTGGGGCTAACTGTAGACAGACAGCTTAAGTTTAGTATGTTCCCCTTCTAAATAGATTTGTCCCTGTATATCCAATTTACCCAAACTATTTTAGTCTTAATCTTTCTGTTACATTCAGAAAATGGATTACACTATTTCCTGAATTTTGTCTCCAACTGTTTCCCAAACAATTTCCCTAAATATTTTTCAAACTATTTCTCGAGGTAAACACAACCTAGCAAAGTGCTAGCTGTTGTATGTGCGCGCTGTATCATAAGGTCTGTCATTGAGTCAACTGCCATGGTTTCGATTCCCTGATTGTACGTGACAAGGATTAGGTTCACCTGTCCTACCTCGTGTTTATTTTTTACAGGTCCTCCGGTTTCTTCTCACTGCTAAAGACCCCTATGCACAAGCAAATTATTGAAATAAGATTGAACCATGTGTTAGTCCCAAAATGAACTAGTTTGTGTTGAGTGGATGTTAATAAACCCCATCTCTCTCTCTCTCTCTCTCTCGTTTCCATTCCATTATCATTATCATTTTTTAAATAGAATTTTTCTGTTTTGCAGTTTAAGTGATATACAACACATTATTTATCAACAGAAATGTCAGCCTATTTTCAAAGCCAATGACATCGTCGTTCTGAGATTTGGTAAATATTGTTTATTATTATTGAAGGCACAATATTGTGGACTAAAAGACAAATGTAGACTTTAGATAATGTGGTCTGTCCAAAAAGCATATTGATTTAAAAATTATCAAAATCAACTAATGCTTATAATGTAAGTTGTAGTATCTCAATTGTACATGACCATCTACAGATCTTATGCCGCCATCATTATTGTTATTAAACACCTGATATGTAATAATAATATGATATATTTATTATAGGTATGAGTTGTCATGATCCATGGTGTATATATAGTCCACCAATAGATGATAGATTTATATTTTTACAAATTGATGGATGTGTATCATCACCATTTCTACAGGTTTGTTATACACTAGTACAAACTTTAAAGAGTAAGGAGAGGGTGGGGTTGGGGTGGGGGTGACTGGTGATCGAAGGTAAGGGCTATTGATGGCTTAATATCATCCCAATATCTACAGGTTAGTTATACACTAGTACAAGAGCATGGAGAGAAAGGGGTGGGTGGTGATTAAAGTAATCTGTGGCAGACGTTTGATCGGTCATCCTTTTTAGTTACCAGTATTCATGGATTTAATTCTCTGAACTTTTTTTTTTTTCATATATCACCCCCCTTGGCTGTGCATGATCATAAAATTTAGAGAAATACTCTATTAAATATATACTGATTTTAAAGTTATTATACTTGTAGCAGAATTTTAAAAATTTAAGTATACTTATATGCTTGCAATTGTTTCAAGTAATATTTATTGAAGAATGAAATCGTTTCACATATTAATCAAAGAATAAGATGGTTTACATGAAGAATAAGATGGTTTTATATATAAAGAATTAGATGATTTTATAAATAAAGAATAAGATAATTTTATATATAAAGAATAAGATGTCTTTATATATAAAGAATAAGATGTCTTTATATATAAAGAATAGGATGGTTTTATACAAGAATAAAATGGTTTTATATGATAAAAAAGACATGTTTTAAATTTGTTATTCTAGGTTGTATATTCCGAAACATTAAGTAATCAACTACAGATAACAATGAAAGAATACATCAATCAAACTGTATCTGTTGATGTTGATCAAAATCAGGTAAGTAAAATAGCTAACATTTATCTATTGTCGATATACATATCACACCCTGTTTTAAAGTAACATTTTGATATACAAGAACACATTTTTTTGGTGGGGGGGGTATTTTTATTATGTTTTTACCCATTTTTTTTTATCTTATATAACACCTTGATATGTAAATAACTTAATTAAATCAACCTGTCCATAATATTATATTATAATGTATTGGACATTAAATTTGCATATCAAATCAAGGTGAATTTTAAGAGTCTGTTTTGTGTGGTTTGATGCGAAAAGAAAATTAGTGCTTGGATCAGGGCTTTCACTTCAAAATTTTGATATTGTACAAGTATGAATGGCATCGGTCGTGAACTCAAGTATGTTGAATTGCACAGTATTTAACGTTTAAAAACCGAACTACTTTATGGAATCAACTACAAATCTAACCTTGGGCACCCCAACCATATTTATTTTTGTTATACAAATATCTATACAACTACCGGTAGTATAGATAACATTTTCTGTCACAGAAATAAAACTTCGGTATAGATGATTATTTAAAAAATTTGTCTCTTCAAAGAACTCTCATTATTGAAATTTAGTCTTTCATTTATGAAAATTAGTCTTTCATTTATGAAAATAAAAGATTTGAAGTAGCAGTAGAAAAAAACATCCCGACATAATATATTATATTTTCTCTAGGTAACTGTAAGTCAGTATATATTAATATTTTCTCTAGGTAACAGTAAGTCAGTATATAACGTATTGATATTTAAGTAAGTCAGTATGTAGTGTATTGATATTTCTAGGTAACAGTAAGTCAGTATGTAGTGTATTGATATTTATTTATCTCTAGGTAACAGTAAGTCAGTATATTAATATTTTCACTAGGTAACAGTAAGTCAGTTAAATGTATTAATATTTTCACTAGGTAACAGTAAGCCAGTATCTAATGTATTAATATTTTCACTAGGTAACAGTAAGTCAGTATATAATGTATTGATATTTTTTTTAGGTTACAGTAAGTCAGTATATTTATATTTTCACTAGGTAACAGTAAGTCAGTATGTAGTGTATTAATATTTTTACTAGGTAACAGTAAGTCAGTATATGTATTGTATAAATATTCTAGCTATAGGTAACAGTAAGTCAGTATATAATGTATAAATATATTTTCTAGGTTACAGTAAGTCAGTATATATTGTGGTATAAGGAAAGTCAGTCAGTAGATACGAGTAATAAATCTGAGTATCTGGTATTAAAAGAAGTGATAGATTTTATTTTGAATTATCTGGATGGTACGAAGAGGGACAAGTTACAGGATCTAATTAACATGGATATTAATGAAGATGGCTCCACAGAAAATATTGGTAATATATTATCATATATATAATAGTTCATCAGTCCATTGTATATACAAGTCTATTTCCTCTCATACTCCTCGCAGTGTTTCATGTGATTAGATCTAATCTCCCTCAAGCACTGCTATACTCAGTGCAAATTTCTGTTCCAATTTATGACTGGTCAATAGTCCGATTAACAACCAATGCCTAACTGCATAACAATATCATTCGGGTTTAAACAGAGCTCCAAATTTTGTTTACATAACGTAAGGTCATGATTAACAAAATTTATTACGCACAATTAACCAGTGTATAGCAGAATATTGCAGAAAAACTAATTGCGTGACAAACGAGGCTATCAAAATTGTTTGGAGACAAACAATACTTTCATCGTTTTTAATACCTTAAATTACTGTCCAAAGTTTTAGGGAAGACCCCAGATTAAACAAAGGGCTATCATGTTGCTGTACTTGGGATAGATTTGATAGAACGGAAAGAATAGACACACTCCCTCAAAAGCTCAAGTATCAGAAACCAATCCAGCAATGGCCTGAGAGGGATTTCTTGGGGCATTGCTTCAGGAATATGGTTTCGCCTCATCAGTGGAGCAGGATGAATGGCTTGAAAAACAGGATGATAAATATTGGAGGTGGTGTCCCACCCAATTCCCCCGATTCCCTAATATTTTGATCCAAATAGCCTTGACTTGCTTGCTTTGAAACTTCATTTTGGTTTATAGAGAAATTTATGAAGTAGTATTCATTATACATTGATTTTGATTTTTAATATTACAGACACAGCAGGCAGAAAGGAATTACCATTCACTGTTATAGTTCAGCCATTTAATCAGGAATTCACCATTGTCTTCACTTCATCTTGTTTACCATCTGCGGAGACACCAGTTATACCGCCCAGCTCAAAACCCAAACTCGTGTCACGAATGGAAAGTTCAATAGAAAGTTTATTGGAAAGATCTGGATCTTACATAGAGAATCCATCTTACTTGTTGACTCCGACAACTTTAGATTATATCAAGAGCGATTCGCTTCTAGTTGCCACCATGGTTAGTTTGGTTTGCGCGGACGAATTGGATGAAATCGACCAACATTTCACTGATGATTATTTCCGGCAAGAGAGTTTCCCTAAAAATCGGACAATGTCTGATATTAGTTTGGTTGATATTAGAAGTTACAGGTATCAGAGACTTACGGATGACTTCCCCGTATTACAGCGCCATCTGTTGAATTATATATTACCATTAGCAGGGGCAGATAACCCCGATATATCAAACAGTGGCGATCCTATCCTGAAATTTGTTACCAATGATATTGACGAAAAAGTGAAATTATGCATGTTTAGTTTACACAATAGCGTACAATTCCAAGATGTCGTTAATGAAATGATTCTACGATTCCTGCAAACGGATAATTATTATTCTATTTTAACCATATTAAGGAGCATTCCAGAAATTGTGATGATACAGAAACACGAATGGCAAATACTTCATGACTATGTCATAAGTTGTTTAGCTATGAAATATTGTCAAAGCTCGGATTGTGATTTGAAAGTGATCCGATTATTGCGTTATTTTTATTGTGTTAATACGCAGGTTCGAACTATTTTAAAGGTGTATAATAATTTACCATTAGATATGGCTATAGATTTGTTTGAATTGTGTTTAAGTCAAGATATTAGTTGTGAATTAATTCCTGTCGTCCAAAACCAACTACAGGTGCTAACCGTCTACTCTAAGGTAATAATTGTTTTTTTTAAAATGTGAGACTGTCTCTCAGTGTAATACAACATCATTTATATCATTAATGATTGGATTAGGGTTCTTTTTTGTGTGGAGGGGGGGGGGGAGGGGATGGCTGAATGTTTTGCACGTGCATGCTGTATCTTACGGTCTGTCATTGAGTCAACTGGTGTGGTTTTGATTCCTCGGTTGTACATGACAAGGATTAGGGTCGCCTGTCCAATCTTGTTTGTTTTCTCCGGGTCCTCCCTTTTTATCCCACTGCTAAAGACCCCTATACGCAAGCAAATTAATAAAATATAATTGAATTAATGTTAGTCCCAAAATGACCTAGTTTGTGTGGACGTTAAACCCGATTTCTTTATCTCTCTCTTTTTCGTACTTATAAATAAAAGTAAGTCACTTGAGGGTGATATGTATCGAGCCCTATCTCCAAACTCTTCAGCGGTTCATGGTAATTGTGCAGGTAAGGACAGATGTCACATGCCAGGCATCTGTGGGGTTAAGCTACTGACTTCATCTGAGAAGATTTGTTAATATAAATTGCATCGCCTGTCCACCTCATGGGGGTTTTCCGGGTCCTCTGGTTTCCCCCCACCGCTAAAGATCCCTACGTGCAAGCGAATTATTGAAATAAACCATGTTAGTCCCAAAATGACCTAGTTTGTGGTCGGTGGAAATTAAACCCTATTTCTCTCTCTCTTTAATATAAATTGCAGCTTAACGAGGCTTTAATCTTGATACCTACTTGGATAACTTCACAGTGGTGTAAACCACAGATTTGTTGCTATCAGATTGGCACCGCAGTAGATCATCAAGGATGTGGTCAATTTACCAGTTTTAATCATACATTATGCAAGAGCTAAGTCTGCCTATTGCAGATCTTTCTTTAGGCCTGAAATGTTATCTAAATTATTAATTAGACATTAATTAACTTATCCCGACCATAATCAACTTTCAATGCCATCGCTAGCCTGTGATATTTACTGGATTTGAATACATTTTTTGATGAATGTCAAAATGGATAAATGAGGCTTTGTTTTTTATCTTACCGACTTTAGTAATGATGATCGAGACTAGGCTTAAAATTCATTTGCTAATATCTTGGTTCATATTGGATCAATTTGACTGAAATATTCAGCAAATTGCCTTTACATTATCTATTTTTTAACTATTATAGTGAGAACTGTCAGCTGGTTATCTAATATCCCATAATGTATCTTTAATCTGACTCTTATTGAGGACCAATCTTGATTGAAATGTTTAGATTTTTTTTTAATCAAAGAAACTCTTGTAAGATTTAATCATAAAGAACTGAGTATTAATTTCAACTACTGGAATTCTTTTTATTTTCAGATTATAGACAGTGTGAGAAATCTACAGTTTAAATTATCCATGAGAACGTCGGAATTCTTTATTGTTGAAAACAAAGATATCCTTTACCATTCAGCACTGGAACCATTTACTAATTGGCATTATCTGGTAAAATGTTCACGTGATTCACCTCAGGATGTATTTGCTGTTTTAATGAAAACTGGAATTTATGCAACCGCTAAAGAATGGGCGAGGATAAATAAAGTTCCCCAGAAATTAAAACTGGTAACTTTTAAGTCTTCTAGTTTTTTATTTATTAAAATTATCTTGGACTTCTAAATCTATACTGTAGGCATAGGCCAACAAATCTCAATAATGATATGGGCTATTGTCATTTCACATATTGCATTAATTTCATGTTTTACATTAAAGAAATATTACATTTTACAAGAAGGGGCCTGACAAGGACAGCTGTCTAGTCGTTCGAATGGGACGAAAAACCAAGGTCCTGTGTATACATTGGCATGCACATCAAAGATAAATTGGCAGTTGGAATTTGATATAAGAGTAGGCCATAGTGCCACTGCCTGGGCAAAATTTCCCTCAATGCATACTGTTTGGCGTATGCCCGTCTACATTAGCCCAATCGGAGCAGAAACAGTAAGACGTTAAACCCCATTTCATTTCTTTTGCAAGAAAGTAATCAATGAATATTAGTTTAATTTGAGTAATATTATCAATTGTTATAAAAATTACCAGATGTTAGTCTCAAAATGACTGTAGTATTTAAACAGGGGGTTGGGGGGCCGAATGGTTAACTCGTGACGTTGTATAGGTCTGTCATTGAGTCAAGAGGCATGGTTTTGATTCCCCGCTTGTATGTGACAAGGAGTTGGGTGGCCAGTCCAAGGTCATGGGTTTTCTCCACGTTCACCGGCTTCCTTGCACCACTAAAGACTCATATGCACAAGCGAATTAATGAAATAAAATTGAACCATATGTTAGTCCCAAAATGACCTACTATAGTTTGTGGTGGACATTTAAACCTCATTTCTCACACTCTTTCCATTAAAGTTACAATTTCATATTTTCTAAGAAAGTCAAAACATAATTATTTCTATGTCTTTTGCTTAATAGGTTGTCAACTCAATATTATACGATCATAGGTGTCATTCTCACACTTAAAACTCATTTACACTGGAAATAATAACACAATAACCTCCCTTGTTTTCTATTCTCCACCATGGAGTAGCTAACTTCAAACGTTTGAATTTGTCGATGAAAATGATATTTTTGCCAATTTCTCAACTGGCAATAGTGAATTATAGGATTAATAGGATTATTCTTTAACAAGGTAGAACTTTTTATAGATACTATCTATTTTAAGGCTTTATTTTAATAAATTTTAAAAATATAACTTAAAAATATGAAATTGCAACTTTAATATAAACAATATTTAATATATTTATATACTTATAGGATGTTGAAGAGAGATATCTGGTATCACTTTTATCTTCAGAAACAACAGATGCTGTTAAAGCATTTCAGGTAAAATAAAACTATATTTTGAAAATTAATCACTAATTTAATCTTGTTCAATTGGTAATGATATTAATCCTGATCGGCGATATAAGCTACGAG